ATAGTCCGGTATTCATCCGCGTTCGTTGTAGGAGTTGCGTTCGTTATAGCATTCTCAATTTTATAGGTAAAACCGTTCGTTATTGGAATATTCGTAGTAGGATCCGTTCGTTATAGCATACCCCACTGTATTTCACATTATGCTTGTTAAGAATCATGGACAATGTAAACAGTTATTAATAAAATCTTTTATAACTGTATGAAGCAAGGCAGGTTAAGAATTGAGAGAAGTGAGGAAAATACTGTAAAGTGAATGAATGAGGAAATATTGACCCATATAATACCGTACAGTACAGTATTTACTTTCACAGTTTTATTGAGAAGCATCGTTACAAGTACTGTACTAAACACTTTCATACCATGCAACATAGTAAAATGTGATGCTTCTCCATGATTATGTTGTGTCCTTTTACCTTAATTGTTTTAAAAAAAATGGTGATGCCATAAATCTAGATTTGAAATTTGAATGCTTAATAAAACTAAAAATAACACTCGTTTACATAAAGCATTATGTTCACCCTGTTTGAAACAAAACACATAGCCATGAGAAATCACTGGAAGGGACGATTGCGAATGAATTTTGTTGGCATTTCTAGAGGACATGCCTTGCATCATTTACTATCACATTTCAGTACTGTATTCTACTAAATATTGTGCCTATTATTTTCCTGGAAAGTCTTCTACTATGAAAAGGAAACTTCTTTCACTTAATGAGATATAATATGCGAGGTAATAAAAAGATATGCGGTAAATTAGCAGAAGGTGGCAGAAATGAAAAAGTAAGAATTAAGTAAACCATAATTATTATGGTAATTTTGCAGAGAGGGAGATGATTAAACATACCAGTACTGTATGTATTATTTATCTACCAACATAACAATGTAATACATATTATAATGGGACACAGTGTAAGTGTCATGGTATATTGCAGACATAGTAGACTATAGCAAAGCAAATTTTGCAAAGGTACAGGTACAGTCAGCAAAAAATTTTTGCACCCCTAGGTCTGATGGCCTTTGCAATGATCATTGACTGAGGCCATGTTAATTTGGTAAGATTGATATTTCTGGTTGTGTGATGCATTGTATAACCAGTATGATGTAGTTTGTGTATCACGTATAGTTAATACAGAGAAATTAGCAGGAATCACCCGCATAAATGACTGTTGTTCAGAATTCTTGGTCCGGTGTGTCATATTTATAACACCAAAAAGGTGCAGAAATTTTTTTTGGTTGACTGTACATGAACTCTATTAGGTAAGAGTTGAAGAGGTGGTTACATTATTTTCTCAGTACATTGTAGTCCATCAGACCGGAAGGTTGAAAGAACATCCCACTCTATGTGGAGAAAGAGCTCCTAAAGTAATGTAGGATTATTGCAAGTAGCCAGCCGAATTTTATCATTAAAGATTATGAGAAATAATGTTTTCACAACTTTTATCTTAGTCTTCAATGTTACATATCATTTTATTTAGTTCTTAATGCTTTTAGTTAAAGATGATTCATGCCGATGGATTTTTATATAAAAACAAATTAGAAAGCAAGTAGCAATTGCAAGAGTTTTTTGGAAGTGTTTTATTCATTTTATTTACTTAAAAAATTCTTAATAAAAATTAGACCAAAATTATTAAAGACTGAAATGACATTAGAGTTCAGGACCACACAGCATGGAAAGCTGTCATCAGGTAGGGTAATCATAGCTAACACATGCAAGCATGGAAAAATGGCTAAAATTAATGATGTGTTCATAGTACGCTGCAACATTATCTCTTAAGATCTCAGCATAATGATTTTAAAGTCTGCTTTTTATAAGTTGCAAAACACTCCAACTTTGCTTGGCCTAGTGGTTATGCTCTGACAGTGGATGGTGGGTATTTGAAAGCAGTAAAGATGTACAGTACAGTATAGTATTTGAATACTGAACTGTAGTTTTCTCTAGAATCACATGAGGAGCTGGGTGATGAGGAATGCTTGAACAGGTTAAGGTTCCTTTTTCCAAAAACTTTTAAAGGGTTTTGAAAGAACCCAACTGTATGTGATTATGATGGCATATACCCGGTAGTATGCAATCACACAATGGTCATGAGCCAAACCCCTTGTTTAGTAAAAAAAAAAAAAGAAAAAGAAAAAATTGAAATATATATATATATATATATATATATATATATATATATATATATATATATATATATATATATATATATATATATATATATATATATATATATAACAGCTGCAATAAAATGCATTAGCAAAGATACTGTAGATATATACAGGTTGCATCTGCAGAGCAAATGGTTGCATCAGTCAGCTGACCTGGTTGCTGTTGTCTCCATACACCTTAAACCTGTTTCCCTTAAACTTCTGTGTTCACGCTACTCACTGCTAAGTTTTAAGCTACAATATTAATTAATGCCCAAACAAAATCCTCTTTACAGTAAAAAGGTGTTGAAGTATACAAGACTGTATATAAACTAAACTAGCAACAATTGTATGTGGAGGGAACCGTAGTATCAGTAGAAGAAGAATGTTATTGGCAAAATTTACTCCATGTTTTATCTACAGTTCTATAACAGTAGATCAAATCAAATATTACCAAAACCTAAAATATTGAAGAATACTTAAATATAATCATGTTTATTGTAACAATATATTAAATGCAAGAAACAGGAAGTGGTGGTGCATGTAGAAAAATTGCATCAGTCATATTTGAGGTCTAGATCCAGGCCTGTATCAGCAAGCCTAGACTTAGGCTATTGTATTGTAAATAGGCCCTGGCATCGAAAAACCAAAACTAAATTGGCCCCAAAGTTTTCAGATACAGGATCCTCGACTTGTATCTCTATTTATCTGAGGCTGACATGCCTTACCAACTACAGTATTTTCTCGATTTAACGAACTAATTTACTTTTACTTTTTTACTTTTATCCTCTTCGCCACTGATCGGCTTGTTAGCCGCTTGGGCGATCGGTCACGTCTCATTTAATTTATATTCTTCACCAAAAGATCGGCTCGCTAGCCGCCCGGGCGATCGGTCACGTCTCTGTCACGCACTGTTGGCAAATACTGGGCATGCACCGGCTCCTGAATGTACCTGAACCCGCTCCAGTGTTGGTCAAGTCTTCTCTTGAAAGAGCTCACACTCGGTGCCGTCACGACACCCTCTGGTAGATTGTTCCAAGAGTTTACAACCCTCACTCCGAAAAAGTTTGCCCTCACGGTTTTCTGGACTTGCGGCTTCTTCAATCTTGAGCTGTGACCCCTTGTGGGGCGAGCGTCCGCCAGCTCCAAGTAAGGACACTCAACTGAGTAGTGCCCCCTGAGATGCTTATACACCTCAACTAGGTCCCCCCTTGCCCGTCTGTAGTATAAGCTAGGCAAGTTCAGGCGCTCCAATCTCTCAGGGTAGCTGAGGTGCCGAAGTGCAGGCACCAGTTTGGTGGCCCTCCTTTGAACATTTTCAACCAACTGACAGTCCCTAGCATATCTCGGGGACCAGATGGGGTGACAGTACTCCAGATGGGGAAGCACTTCACTCCTGAAGATCGTCACGAGGGACGGACCGTCTAGATATCTGAACGACCTTCTTATAAGACCCAATAATTTATTTGCCTGATTTACCTTCTTCTCACAATGGCCCGAGAACTTCAGCTCATTGTCAACATACACACCTAGGTCCTTCTCACACAGTCTCAACTAGTACATTTTCTTCATCCCGTTGGGACATATGATACGCCTCCTTACCGTTGGTACGCCCCAGGTGCATCCTCTTACACTTCGTGACATTGAATCTCAGCAGCCATTCCTTCGACCATTCCTGGAGCCCACAGAGGTCCTTCTGCAGCTCTTCACAGTCCGCTTGGTTCTTAATTTCCCGAAATAACTTGTCATTTGATCCACCCCTTTCCGTTAAATTGAAATTTCCGTTAACTCCAGCGTGATTCTGTTAAATTTCTGCTAAATTAAGCGTGATTCCATTAAATTCTGCGCCAAATGCACCGCTTGGCGTGTGGGGCTTGTTTACATCCGCTCAGTTTGTGTACTGCCGCCACCGTGTGTGTTGTTCACTGCTACCCTCTCGGTCAACTAACTACTGTGCTTAGACATCATGCTGGAAGTCTCAGAAAGGAAGTGGTGTGGGGGAGAAAGTCAAAAGAGTGCAGCTGTCAATTTGAAAAAAAGTTTGGAAATTCCAGAAAGAATTGAAAACAAACACCGAAACCCTTAGTTTAGGGTAAGCCAAGAATAATATTTCTAATGTTTCTATGTACATATCATTTGTCTGAGGTGTCTCCGTAGGTGTGAGCGTATTAAAAGAATTAAACTCAATTTAGCGAACTAGTTTACTAAATCAAGTGAAAAATAATGGAAAAAATTCCTTCAGCTAAATCGAGAGTTCGCTATATTGGATTCCATTAAATCGAGAGTACTGTATACTGTATTTTTCATTTAACCCCATGAGTACAAGGGGTCCCTCTCTGTGTTCTGAATAAAATCATCTGGCTTTAGCTAAATAAAATATTAAAAGTTGCATCCAGTAGTGATGGGTTAACATTGGGTCAAGAGAAGTTGTCTGTTCTATCCTTTTTGTGCATCCATTGTAGATTTCAAAATTATCTAAAATGGATTCACTCTTTTTGTAAAACCCCTTCCAAGAAAGTTGGAACTTGTGAATATTGTTTTGATGTGACTGTAATACAAGTGGTACAAAGTGAAGTTGACCCACTTGATAGTACAGGTACAATAATATCTCTTTGGTTGGCACACTTGATGGCAAAGTTATAACCAGTCATTTTTGTCATAATTTAAGTCACTAAGCAAGAATCTCAAGTAAAGTCTCTAGCAGCATTCTTCACTTTGGCATTTTTCAGCCAATCCTTGCCATATTGAAGTTGAACCTCAAAGCAAAACTCTCGGAACTTTCACGAGGGAAATAATAGATGTTGGCCAACTAAATTAAAAATTAGACCTGTCTTGCTTAAATGACAAATAAACACATGAGTAATTCTTTATTTTTATGTGTGAAGTGCTGATGTTGGGTCCCCTGATTCTTCAGGGATGGAAATACAGTACAGTAACTGGTTTCATGTAGCTAAATAAAGATTTTGAATAAAACATGCATTGTAGAATACTGGAGAGGTGAAATCATTAAGAAATTGAAAAAAGAAGAAACAATATTTTTGGTGTTATCTACATAATATCATCAAAGCTTTATTATTATGTTGAAGAACAGCCTGGTGAAATGCTATACCAACAAATAGAGAAGTAGCCACATATCTCCTGTAATTACTTTCAATGGAAAAATATAACTCTTGTACATCATCTTCCAGTGGCAGGGGCAGAAGCCAATCCATCACTTGTTCACCTTCCATTAATTTGTCAGCCAACTTAAGGCCAGAAATTCTTTCTTCGCCAACCTGCAAAACAGAGAAATAAGGAAATTAAATACAACTATCATTATTTGATATTCTATAATGATATAGATACAGTACATACTTCTCAGTCTATCAACCAGATTTTGTTTTTAGCTAAACAGTTCATTTGGTATATTAGAAAAGATGAAGAAAGTACAGTATATAGCATTGTACAAATGTATCTCCTGTTCTTATCCTTAACACCTATCGAGTGAAATTAAGTGAATCAGAACATCTATACTACTTGACTACTTCACATCTAATCACTCTCCTTCATAAGATGATTTGTCAGTGAGACTTCCACTTCCATTTACTGTTCTACTTTTTTGGCATAATTTTTTTCCATTATGTCATTCCTTGACATATTCCACTGACTCATTCACAGATGTTAGCTCCATGTGCTGTACTGGCTCACCCATTATTTTACGGAGTCTGATCTACCCCTCCTACTGTATATTCTAACGAACAGGGGCCCCCCAAAAAATTCACGGGGTTTAGGTTCTCAAAATGGCCAAATCTGCAAATAACATTTGGGGACTGGGGGTTACATTTTTATTTGTGTACAAAGAAATGTATATTCCCTTTGTGTTTGCCCCTAAGATAATTATTTCTTTTACTTGTAGTATTGCATATGTGTATGTGTAGACACACACACGAACTTGAGGGTAGACTGTCACATTTTTAATAAGTTTGTTTCTGATTATTTGTGAGAGTATTTTCCCATTATTATTTATTTGTATGTGTTTTGTGTGTATGTGTGTGTGTCTACACACATGCACATATTTTCAATAAAGTACAGGTAAAGGAAATTACTGTCTCTAGAACAAATGGCTCCCTGTCCCAGCCGTGAAAATGTCGGCAACTTTAAAACTACAGTACCCCACATACATTCTTGGGTACATCCAAGGTGTCATCCGCGAACTTGGGGAGCATACTGTACTGTATTGTTGTAAATATTTTTCACCAATCCTTTATTTACAACAAATTTTAAAATACAATGTTTTTATGGTTTCTTTTCTATAAACAGTACAGTAATACTGTACTGTATAACTACAATTATTTACAGTGTCATTTTATTACACCTTACAGTCAGAGACAAGTGGGTATTGGTTTTGCTTTTTATGGGTTACATTTTCAAGACTCAGCCTCTTGTTTCTCTCCAATATCTCCATTAAAAACAGAAATATATAATATGTTACGAGTACTTGCAGTCCTTGTTTATTGGAAATTCGCACTCATGAATTACTTCCGGCTGAGAAATGTCAATTAGAACCTTCTAGATGTGCAGAGAAGTGTCAATTGATGTCATGGCTCTGAGAGAAAGAACACACACATGCCTCAATAAGTCACTCATTGACATAACTTGCACATTTCTTTCATGCATTCTTACATTCATTAAATGTTTATTGTTTTAATATCATAAGAGTGAAAAAACTGAGTGTAAACAGTGGTGTTGGCTAGCTCTTGTGGGATGGTGGCTGGTGGTAGGTTGTCAACTGAAAATCTTGTAGATGCTAGAATCATGTCAGTTAATGTACACCTGTGAGAGGGCAAACATTGGGTGCTATTTTAGTACAGTCTGCTTTGGGAGATCATTTTTGTTCCTAGGAATGTATCTCCATTTATGTAATTTAAAGTCTATGGGAAAATGGGTTTTTGGTTATGGACAACTTTACAGATACATTACCCTCTCATTATCCTTTCATAAATCAAGAGATATCTGCATGCTATATCCAATGTCTGTTTTCCCAATGCAAATCTTTGTTGAAATACAGGGTACTCCTAAATTATTTTAAAGCTCCTTACACTAACAACCTCCCCTCTTCATCCACACTAACAATACACTAAGACTGCTAATCTTCTTTAAATACTGAGGCTCTAGTCTTATTTACATTCTGTAGCAATAATAAACATGATACATTAGTACCAGTACTAGACAAATCTTATTGAATGGTCATAAATACAAGGTAGAAACAACTCCATATCTACTGTACAAACAAATAAACTTTACCTTAAGATTAAATAACTTGGGCACTAAAACTTCTCTTAGGTAGACCAGTCGACTACCTTCACTCTCCTCACGTCGGGAGGCCAACAAGGCAGTCATCATCCCTTTTATCTGTCAAGAAGAGCATTATGAAGTTTCACTCAGTAACATATCCAACATACTATTCAACTTCATCTTATCAATAACACAGCTTTTCCCTGGAGTTAGTTTTTAATTTTTCTAACAATATTACTACCCTTATATATATCATACTGATTCCTTGATCTATGTTTGTAATGCTATACTGTACCAAGTTATTTCACTGATCCATATTTGTTAAAACTGTTATTTAGTAATGACCAAAGCAAGAGCAGAATTCTGCAAATATCAAGCATTATTATTGGGATTTAAATTTACAGTAAAGTGTACAGGAAGTCTGAAACCAATACCCGGTATATATAATCAATATTCCACATGTGTAACAATCCTTCGATAAACATGAAAATGAGGACCTGATATTGATATTAATTTCCCATTGATAATTCTCAAGTCAACATGATGCTTGCAAATACAGTACTGTCATGTCACGTACTGTATATAGACAGGGTCACTTAACCATCAGGTGAAAAGTACAACAACAATCTATTGTAGCACATGGTTATTTAAAACACTTATGAGGCATGAAGAATCTTTCCCATATACAGTACTATATTACTATAGATCATCTGACTGTACCCATATCTTCAAGTACTGTATAGTAAACTACCTCTAACCTGGATCCCACTTGTAAATTGGACACATGTATCCCCAACCCGGAAAACACAACCAAAATCTGGTTAGTATGGGGCAAAGTTCATGGAGGCGGCGGCTGCCATTGTGGAGGCACAGGAGGGTAACTCAACAGCTGCCTCCGAGGAGGCAGTAGAAGTCTACATGATCATATGAGGTGGGGGAGGGAAGGCTGCAACACCCCCCCCCCCCCCAAAAAAAAAAAAAAAAATGAGAAGACAAAAAAATTCGGGCAATAGCATATTAATGATTCGGGCAAGCGCCACAAGCAACATGGCTAATAATACTCATATTTTAAAATTTACACTTTCCATACGGTGTCTCAGAATTTATGAGCTAAGAACCCTCCAGGAGCTATTCCAAGTTACTGTGTGTTTTCGTATGTCTCTTTGCATGATGTATCCCATGATGTCACATAGCATGACTTCAGCAGCCAATAGACTAACAGTATGGCTGTGATGTCACGAAACGTGACTTTCATCTGCCAATTAGATTAAAATATATATCCTTGACATTTTAACTGATAATTTAAATTTACTATTTAATCTCGCATGGCAACCCTGTGTGCCGGTTGTACCATTGTACAGTCTCACCCAAAAGTTCGTTAACTCTCCCAGCCAGCTATTGTTGCACTGCCTGCTTCAGATGTATGAACTAGAGTCTGTTACTTCAAACCTTTAGATTCATTCGTATCGGTTTCATGTTCTGGTTGTAAAATCACAAAAACGAACTTATCACCAGCACGTCAAATGTGATGCCTGCAACAAAGAAATGGACTCGGATTATGAAGGAACACCTGCTACAAATAATTTACAAAGGCACAAAGGTTAAATTTTCTGCTACTTGAATCCTCAGTCACAGTTAAGTGGAAATTTCTTTGCAAATACCTGTAAGAATACAAATGCAAATCAACCAGTGCCGGCAAATAAAAGTGAGGAAAATTTGCTTGACTGTCAAAATGAAAAAACAGTGATGAAGAACTAGGCGCAGGGAAGTTATAAACCCCATGATTACTCTGAATCAAACTGTAATATTTTGAAATACGAATCAGTAGTGAGTTCTCAACTAGACTTAAAACAAAATATTACTGAAGGAAACCTTGAAGTACAGTAGTGCTAGTTAATGAATATTCTGTTGTCAATCCACCTTCAAGAGTCCCTTAACCTTGAAGGGGACATGTATCGATGACCAGGCTTGTTCATAATGATGTGGTGAGTGTTTTGAATTGTTTTATGTATATTATTAATGTAGGAATTTTTTTCAGTGATACATGTGGGTGTTGGACTGGCTGGGAACATATCCCATTGAACCCATGTTATAATGATCCTAATTTACAATATTTCAATGTGCGATGCGTTTTTCAGAAATTTAACCTCATCGTAAATAGGGAAATACCTGTAATGTTGAAGTGATCCATCAGCATCGGATAGTCCATGCACAATGTAATGCTTGTTGAATTCTATCAAACAAACTTTCACTCATACAGTAGTACTCATGTAGACTAACTATTACAGGGGGTTAGGTTCTCAAAATGGCCTGAATCACCACATCCGCGATTAACATTTGCGGACCAGGGTTCATTTTTACTTGTGTACAAAGAAATGTCCCTTTGTGTGTTTGCCCTTAGAACAATTATTATTTTACCTGTATTGTAAATGTGTGTGTGTGTGTAGACACACTAAAAAAAAAACCACATACTACTGTACAAATAAATAATAATGGGAAAATACTCACAAATAATCAGAAACAAATTTATTAAAAATGTGCGTCTACCCTAAAGTCCATCCTTCATTATTAAAGTAATAAAGCACGGATTTGAGGGTAGACTGTCACATTTTTAATAAATTTGTTTCTGATTATTTGTGAGAGTATTTTCCAATTATTATTTATTTGTATGTGTTTTGTGTATGTGTCTACACACACACAAAACACATACAAATAAATGTGAAGCTGTTCCTAATTTAATTTTATTTGTTTCTTGATCACCATTCCATAACTGCCTGCATAATCTGCTTAAAAAAGAATTACAGTAATTACTAAAACTGCAAATAAAAAACTGCATATGAAAATGTGTGCCATAGCTATGGACCTAAATAATTCAGTGAATTTGCTAAAACTAAGATACCCTGTATATAAATGCTTCATTAAAAAAAGTAATAAAGCATGAACTTGAGGGTAGACTCACATTTTTAATAAATTTGTTTGATTATTTGTGAGAGGATTTTCCAATTATTATTTATTTGTATGTGTTTTGTGTATGTGTGTGTCCACACACACACACACACATATTTACATTACAGTAAGTCCTCGCTTAACGGCGGGGTTACGTTCCTGAAAACGCCACATTTAGCGAAACAATGTTAAGCGGATCAATTTTCCCATAAAAAATAGATAAAATATTGGAGTTACGTTCCTGAGCCTCCCGTTGATCCATGAGAAAAGTTACAGAAAATCATTGCCATTTTTATAGAGAATAGTATACTGTATAGAACTACAGTACAGTGGTCCCTTGGTTAACGAGCACAATTTGTTCCAGAAGGTTGCTCGTTAACCGAAAAATTCGTTAACCGAAACCATTGTTTCAATGGGTTTTTGGGTAATTGGTTCCAGCTCACCGAAAATTGCCTAAAGTCAACAAAAAAGGTAGTAAAGTACACTTACTTTGAGGTGTGTATGTAGAAGGCGCCTGGATGATGATGCTGATGTGAATTTGAAGTAGGAGGTGGAGGAGGAGAAGGGAGAAGAGAAGGAAGTGGAGGTGAAGCATTTTACTGCTTCTTGGAAGGTGAGTCACCTTCCATGAAAATGTCAGGAACCTCTGGACTGACAGATTCTCCAGCAGGAGCATCCTCTCTCCCTCTTGAAGTGGAAGGCTGAGGGCTAGCATCTTGTTCCCGCTGCCTTTTAGTGAAGAAACTGTCAATTTTTGTCTGTGGGGCATCTCTCCTCCTCATCATTAACTGATGTTTGAAGGAGACCACTGTGTCCTCAACATGACACAAAGCTAGTTCTGATTTTTCCACATCTGGGTGCCTTGAAGCCAGTTTCCTGAACTTCTCCCAGTGGTCAACAACATCTTTCAACTCTATGGTCATCACTTTCCTTTTCCTCCTCACCACTGTCAGCCTTTAACATCTCATCCAGTTGCTGCAAGTCTTCAGGAGTAAGTTCCTTTTCATGAGACATCACAAGCTCTTCTACATCATCCTCCTCCACTTCAAGGCCCAATGACTGACCAATGGACACAATCTCTTGGTCCAACTCTGCTTCCATGTGCTTTCCATGAAGAATTGAGGGATCTAGCGGAGACTTCTTGCCATGAGGACACAATCAATTTTACAGCCTCCAGGATGTTGTATTGTGTCTTCCAGAACTGTGACAGTGATAGATCAGGATCAGTGGTAGTTGCCTGATGACGACACCTGAACATTTTCTTCATGTACAGCTTCTTAAAGTTGCTGATCACATTCTGGTCCATTGGCTGTATGATTGATGTAGTGTTGGGAGGCAAAAACAACACTTTCACAAAGTCAAATTGAGACTCCAAAGTGCTGGCAAGTTGAGGGTCATGACCAGGGACATTACCCATAAGGAGAAGAGCCTTTAAAGGGAGTTTATTGGTGGTTAGGTAGCTCTTCACAGAAGGGCAAAACACCTCAACAGCCCATTCATTAAAGAGCTGTCTTGTTACCCATGCCTTACGGTTGGACTTCCAATAAACTCCAAGCCGTCCTCTTACCACTTTTTGTTGCTTGAACACCCTAGGGTTCTCAGTGGTAGACAAGCATAGGCTTCAGTTGGAAATCCCCTGAAGCACTGGCACCAAACAATAGAGTGAGACGGTCTTTCATGGGTTTATGCCCAGGTAAAGAGGCTTCATCTCTGGTGATGTATGTCCTTTTGGGCATCTTTTTCCAGAACAGCCCAGTTTCGTCAACATTGAACACTTGCTGTGGAAGATAATTTTCTGTACCCACCAGTTCTTTAAATTCCACTAATAATTTTGCTGCCCCTTCCTTATCAGCATTGGCAGCCTCACCATGCCTAACAACACTAAATATATCAGTTCTTTTCTTAAATTTGTTTAACCAGCCCTTGCTGGCCCTAAACTCTTCAAAGCCTGTGCCTGAAGAACCAGGTTGATCTACCTTTAAATGTTCGTATATTTCCCTGGCTCTTTCACAAATAAATTCAGTAGAAACTGAATCACCTTTCATCTGTTTTCCCTAATCCAAATGAGAAGTAACCTCTCTGTTTCTGCTATTAGGGATCTACCTTTGAGCACTCTGGTAGATTTGTCTCTCACTTTCACTTCCTTGAATTTGTCTCTGTGAAAGAATTGTCGACACAGTTGATGTCGACATGCCATATTCTTTGCTAAGCACATTTGTTCTAATGCCTTCTACATGTTTCTTTATAATTTCCTGTTTCACCTGGATTGAAATCACTTTTCTTGATTTCTTGGGACTCATGCTGGATTCAAAAACAATTTTGACACGTGATATTTTAAGTTTAATTGCTGTAAATAAAGAATATTTTCTTTAAATCAACACTGCACTGCGCTATATATCAATATGTAGAATAAATTTCAAAATGACCAATAATTTGACTGGAAACACAGAAAAAAAGCATTTATGTTGAAGAGAGTCTGAAGCAAGATGTTACCTCCACTGAAAAGACACAGAGACTGACGCCTGTATGGTGTATTAACAGGCTGTTTGGGGCGCTAAAAACTAGTTTCCCTGTACTTAAATTATGTTAAATAATTGTTAAAATGACTAAAAATTTTAATATAACACTTTTAAAATTATTGAATAGTACAAACTTCTTGATATTTACTAAAATAGTAAGGAATTTAAGCCCTAGAACCGATTACTGTATTGGTGGACTAATACGACAGCTAGTGTGCAAGCGAAAACATGTTGAGGGGCGCTCGTAAGGAATTCGTTAATCGAGGGAATGCTTGTTAACTGAAGTTAAGAATCTTATGGAAGGTAATTCATTAACCGAAATTTCGCTAACCGAGGTGCTCGTTAACCGAGGGATCACTGTACTAAGTTTGTATTGGTACTCACCAATGGGCGGAAGAGCGAGTGTGTGGTGGGTAGCGAAGGGAAAGGATGGAGGGAGCGGAGTAGGAGGGTGGGAGCAGAGGAGGGTGGGAGAGGAGGAGGGTGGTGAGTCACTGAGAGACTGCGGCTGCCTCCTCCTCCTCCTCTGTCTGGGGTTCCTCCACCACCGCTTGCTCCTCCGTTGTTGGCGGGAATGTCTCGGCAGCAACCGTATCTGAACTGGCAGCTTCACCAGTCATCTTTATGTTGTGGAAGTTATACTATTGCTTAAATCGTTGAAACTAGCCTCGGCTGGCCATAAAGGTCTCTTCCTTCGATCCTTCACCCTCTGTTTCCTTCATGTCATCAAACAAGGATCTGGCCTTATGCTGGATAACCATAAGGCTCACAGGGGCATTGCGTTGATTCTGGTACTCCATCCACATTGCCAGCATCTTTTCCACCTTCTCTATCACAGTGCTTCTAGTACGAGTTGTCTTAGTAGCACTCAGATAAGAACCATTTCCAGCACTAACCTTAATCTTGTCAATGTTGGTCCGGATAGTACGCACTGCTGTGGGGGTTAGACCAAGCACAGCAGCTATGTCCACAGCACGTTTCCCTCTTTTAAATCGGGTTAATACATCCATTTTCGTAGCAAGGGTAATGGTCTTACGTTGGCTCTTCACTACACTAGCATCAGTAGCACTTGATGGATGCTTGGAAGCCATCTCAAATGGTTAGAGTACAGTTTTAGAGCAAAAGCACTGAAGCACACACGAATGATGTGAAGTCGTAACAGAGACTGGCTTGAAGTCGCTTGGGGACGCTGTGACGTTCCGCGAGTGAGGGCAGAGCTCCGAACCGAGAGTGCATAGCGCAGCCAGACAAGAGCAGGTGATGCGCCATAGAAGGTAGTCCGTGACGATGCAAAAGGACGCAGTATCGGATCACTGGGACGTTAAACAAATTTTTGGTCTCTAAAGTTCAGCGACATAGTACAGAAACAACGTTAAGTAGGACGACATTAAGCGAGGACTTACTGTAAAGGTAAAGGAAATTACTGTCTCTAGAAGGAATGGTTCCCTGTCCCAGCCGCAAAAATGCCAGCAACTTTTAAAACTACCCATAGACATTCTTGGGTATATCCAGGGTGTCATCCGCGAATAATAGAGGGCCGCGAAATAAAAATGCGCAAACTTGGGGGGCCCCCTGTATATACAGTATTCATTCTGGTTACATGGATAAAAAGCAACTGTATAATAATTTAAATATTGTATACCATAGAAATCTTACTTGAGCTAACTGTAGAGAAATAATGATGGTACCAAGTGCAGCTTTCTGCAGGTGACCATAGTTGCTTCTCTCCTCCCATACATAAATATCAGCTGGAGGAATCGTCATCACTGCTTCCGTAACCTTGTAATTTTCAAAATTCATTAGTACTGTACCGTATTGTATATGTTTTATAAACAATTACTCTTACTGATATTTTGTCATTTCAAAATTATATATTACTACAGTATGTACAGTATTTCATTAACTTGCACTTGTTGTATAGATGCAGGAACTCATTAATGCTGAAAAATTATTTATATGTACTATACAAACATACAGTACAGTGCACAAAGAGATAAAAATTACCCTTTCATATATCTTTGGAGTATCAAAACGTGAATCTGAGTTGAGCAATTCCTCAATGTAGAGATCGAGTATTTTACCACTATAATCAAATTTTGTCCAGGCCAAGAACCCAGCAGTCACATGCAATGACACCATTGTCTGGAAAGTCTGTGGATAGTAATAATGTATAGTACAATGAAAATTTTTGTTTTCACTATATATGGCACATAGATGCAGACATATGCTTTCTAAAGAATAGGGAGCAAGTCTTAATTTCTACAAAATTTCTTCAACTACAGTTCTGTACAGTTCATTCTTTTATAAATTTTACAAAATATCATTTTAGTCTGCATTACAGGTTGGGTATCCTTTATCTGAAATGCTTGGGGCCTCAAGGGTCTCGGATTTGGGATATTTTCGAATCTTGTAATACCTACAGTATATCCTGTATACAGTACCTGTATAATGCGATAGCTCACCCAGAAGGGATGGGACCCAAGTCTATGCACAAAATTCATTTATATTTCATTTACAGCATATGGATACATATAGTCTGCAGGTAGTTTTATGAAATATAATTTAATAATTTTGGGTATAAAATATATGATAAGATGTACACTAAAGACCCAGAAATGTAAGCAATCACTACTACCTGTTTGGCATCGACATGACGCCTGACTCTGAGGCACTAAGCAGCCAATGTCTTACATTTATTCATTACACATACATACTTACCGTAGTAAAAATTATGATATATGCCATATTCAGTGTATTATCTACCATAAATATAATGAAACAGAATTTCGGATTTCAGAGCATTTTGGACTTGGGAAATTTGGATAAGGGATACCCATCCTGTGTACAGTAATGTACACTGCATTTGCTAACAATCACAAATTGGTACCATAATTACTGCACAAAATAAATTGAATCCATGAAGAAAACATAATCTCCAGGACCCTACAGGAAATAAGCATCTGATGGCTTTGTCAGCAATCCTTGGAAGATTGGCCTTGCTGTTTACTATTGTTGTATAGCTGTATTTTCTAGGTACAATACTGTACAGTTGCCGGCACATGAATGTACCACAGCCTAGCAATGTGTGAGGGCACAGGTAAGAGATGTAGCAACACAGCGCCTTAGTTATAGGTTTGCCATTTCCCCGTAGTACAGTCACCAATACATTTCATAAATATCTGCAGTAATATCCCGGTGTTGAAAGTTTGTTACAAGATACCTGAGGGTCAACCAATGGGAGTACCTGTAACAGGTGATAGACCAGCTCAAGCGATCGTCTCCTTCTGTTGGTTGGTAATGTTCCTGTCTTGTCTCGGTTAAATTTTACATTCTTAAAAATGAGAAAAGATTTTGATTGGCAACTGCAGCTGATTTAAAATGTGGTTTAGTGGCTCACATTAGCCTCAAGGCTATTTGGAAAAGCAGAACCAGAACTGCAAGGATGAGAAGTTCTTTAATTTTTTTTTTGTATATTTTTCTGCCTTCTATTGGTCGTATGTTTTTATGCTTATGGGAAAAGATTTTGATCAGCACCTGCATGTGCTCTTGCAGCTGGTTAGGAGCTCACAGCAGCCCTAAGGCTGTTTGGAAGAGCAGACCAAGGGCTGCTTGGATGAGTTGGCCTTTACTTTTTGATGGTACTGCAATGTCTAAATACTCGAATACAGGGGGTCCCCGACTTATGAACGCCCGCCAATACGAACTGGGTTAAACTTGAAATTTACAGTATTTTATTTACCTGATGCCTTATTTTTTACTTTCATTTAATGTATTTTGTCATCCTATTTCTTCTTTTGTCATAAATTATGTGATATTTTATGTATATAAGGACTTAGGCTATGATATAGTGGGATTTTTGTTTTGTAAGTACAGTATGCATATAGCATATGTTCCGACTTGTGTACAAATCTGACTTATGAACGTCCTCAGGAACGGAACCCGTTCATAACCCGGGGACCCCTGTACTGTAATTTATAAATATGACAAAATAAATAAATTTATACAAAATGATTTTTTTTTAATATAACTTACATGATATGTACAATATGTAGTTTAATAAATTGCAAAGCACCAGAAAGTTGATTTAAAAATTTGATTTTAGGCAGTTGGTAGTAGGCAGCTACCAAACAGGGAGGTACTACCGCCTGGGTAGATATTGGAAGCATAATGTGTTGTCTAATGGTAGACCCTGCTGCCATATGGTATTGCAAAAATTGTGACCAAGTCCCAGGTTGCTGATCTGACTTTCTGCCTCATTTACACACAATTGCGGGGTCTCAATTGTTTCTCTTGCTATTGACAACACAACATACATATATCGTTTCTCATTAATGATCTTTTTTTTTAATTTCTTTATGGTTCCTTATTATTATTATTATAATTATTATTATTGTAGTGTTTTCATTATTATTATTGTTATCATTATTATTTTATTTTTATATTTTTATTATAAATTTTACTTTTCAGAATTATTATTATTATTATTATTATTATTATTATTATTATTATTATTATTATTATTACCTGTATTACGTTTTCGCCCCCCCCCCGGGCCCTGATGTGGGTCTGTAACCTGTGTCCAAGTGGGCTAATACAGTACCCGTAAAAAAAAACTAAACATCTGAGGTTAAAGTACATCCTAATGGTAAATTAGTCTGTTATTCTTAAAATATGCAAACTGTATTGGAAAATTTATAAAAGAGAGTAATATTTACCTTAATTAGGAGTGGATCTAACCTTGGCTTCACTAAACGTTTCTTGTACACAACATTTTCAAAATCATCTTCACAAAGGTCATTACCAGATTTTTCTATTTTTCCATTCTTCAGTACTAATTTACAGAGATTTTCAACAGCTTTTATTCCCATGCCATCAATAAAAAGTAGCTGGGATACATCTTGATAACTGCCAACTTGTGACTTGCTTTTCAAGAGCTTCTTAATAACACCTTTAGTCACCTTAAGTCTAGTAAAGTCTTCTGGAGAGGCATTGTTTATGGTTTCTATTATAAGTAGTTTTTCTTTTTCAGAGTAAGGTAGTTCATAGGTTGATAAGTCATACAGCTTCCCATTCTCTTCTGTTGTATCACTGGTTTTTAAAGATGTACAATAAGGGATAAACTGCAAAGAATGAATACAGTACATATATTCAATTGAAACTTTACCATAAAATATAGTAAAGATATAAATAGCAGTAACATGGACATAGGTGCTGTACTATGCTATAACTATAAACAAGGTGGTAGATTAACATTGTTCACCTAAACGCTAGTAAGGAGTCTTGTTCACCTAAACGTTGGTTAGAGTCTTGTACCTCAGGAAATTTCTTCTAAGCAACATAAAATCACTTGGTAAACATGTCACTGCAATTATATTGGTAATTATTAATTGTGCACAGAAGTCTTAGTTTTCAGTGTGCTTAATTCATGCTGTCCCTAACAGGCCATCATATTGTTATATTAAAAGGCATTGTAAAGTTCTTATCTACAGTATTTACAAAAAAAATAATGTCCCGTGCTCTAACTAATCACAGTTTGGGTGACTAGTGTTGACTATGAAATTAGGTAGCTACAGTAAATTTTGCTACACTCTGATTATGGTACGTACAGTATATTTAAAACACTACAGTAAAATTGCTCGATTATGTAAACAATCAAACTATGGCAATAGTTTACTGCAACATGTCAGAATGAGAAAATTCATGAAAAATTTAAAAGAAAACTTGTTTCTTACCTTTCAAGTGTCATACAAGGGTTAGAGGAATTGCAAGTTATTTGTGTTGACCTATCACCCCGGTGCAGTTGCCATTATCAGCCAACCAGAGACTGATTATTATTATTAATCGGTTAAACCAAGCAACGTAATCTTACCCAACCTCCTAACATAGCTATCCAACGATGGAATACATTACTGTATATTAGATTCAGTTAAGTAGGTTGATAAGGGTGATATTTTGTTAACAGTTCATATGAAAATTTTCTAGGAAGCATTCACTTGCTTAGCATTAGGATCACTCACTGGCAAGTGTGCCAACAGTTTAATAGTAAACATGGCTTCCACATATTGGCAGACCATAATTACTCAAAAAAACAAACAATTATAAATAAATAAATAAGTAAAACAAAAATTAGAAAGTTCTAATCAATCCAACCTTTGCTGAAATTTGAAGAATTATAAAACAAGTTTTCCTCAATACATTCTCAAAAGCACTCTTGTAAACTATTATCCTAATCATTTATAAAAGCACTTGGAAGTGAAAAAATTAAGATAGTAAAATGAGTTAAGGTCACATAGCTAAATAATTGGCTTAATTCCCTAATTTTTCACTAGAAATGCAATTTTATTTGTACAGTACTGTAGTTTACAAATCTAGAACTGCCTAAATTCCTATTGCATATAATGATTCCCCTTGTGTGTATGAACTATGTCTGATTTAACTGGAATGGACAGCTGAATATAGTACAGGTACAGTAAATTGGGTACAGTACAGAACTGTAATTATATTATGTTAGTTTGGTTCATTTTATGAACGATAAATTAAATGGTGTAGCTCATGTAGGGTTATAGTTCGTCTCTTAGCCATTCCTCCTCTAGTGTTTCTGACAAACCTAAATGTTATTTTTTTTTTATATTATGAATCGATATTTCTTTCTCTTTTATTCTCTTCACCACTGATCGGTTCGTTAGACACTTGGGCGATCGGTCACGTTTCTTACGCACTGTTGGCAAGTACTGGGCATGCACCGGCTCCTGAATGTATCTGAACCTGCTCCAGTGTTGATCAAGTCTTGTCTTGAAAGAGCTCACACTCGGTGCCGTCACAACATTTTCTGGTATATTGTTCCAAGAGTTCACAACCCTCTATCCGAAAAAGTTTGCCCTCACAGTTTTCTGGACTTGCGGCTTCTTCAATCTTGAGCTGTGACCCCTTGTGGGGCGAGCGTCCGCCAGCTCCAAGTAAGAACACTCGTCTGAGTAGTGCCCCTTGAGATGCTTATTTAAAGGTAACTTTTCTCACGCAAATGCTTAGTTTTTATTAAATTTTCCCTCAAATATTAAGTATAATGTATGCTGTTATTGCTGCATGGTGCCGTCTGCTGTTTATTTACAGCTCAGTCCAAGTGCACTCATGTTAAAAAAAGAAAGTAAAATTACACCATGACACTAGGAAGTTAGGTTAGGTCAATTTTCTTATAATAAAAATTGCGGTCAGTTGAGGATAGTAGCCAGGTTTTGGTTTGGTTAGATTAGGGCAGTTATCACCAGAAACGAAGGTCAGATCCGTTCGAATCACAACGAGAACCATAGGAAAATCTTATTTTTTATGTAAAAAAAGAAACCTGGCTACAGCCCTAAATTGACCCTCATCTGGCGATTTAGGATAGTAGCCAGGTTTCGGTTAGGTTAAGGCAGTTAGCACCAGAAACGTAGGCCAGATTCATAGGTAAATATTCATCCATTGACTGTCCTCAGGTTTTGGTATGAGAACATTATTTTTGTTTTTGTTTTACGGTGTTTTTTACTCAAATCTGACCTTCATTTCTTGTGCAAATTAGCGTTTTTTTCCAAAAAAAATTAACATTTTCATTTTTAACCGATAATTTGCACAAAAATAGAGGTCAGTTTTGAGGAAAATACGCCAAAATTACAAAAAAAAAAACTATTCATACCAAAACAACCAACCTACCTAAGCTAACCTAACTTACGAGGAGGAAGGGGAAATGAAGACAACTGACTTCAAGTGGGTATAACCTCAGGTAAACATGGCGGGAACCTAAGGACAACCAATGGACGAATATTAACTGAACAATTTCTCATATCAAAAGAGAGGAATGGGCCAGAAACGAATAATTGCCTAATGTACAGTAGTAATATGATACAATACTTCCCAAAGTTCCCAGTCTCGCAAAATGTCAACAACGGCACTTTATTTTGTTTGGCGAATATTGAGAAAGGAGTCCCTGTAGTGAAGGGATTAAATACTGTACAAGTTTATTATTCGAGCTAATAATTCTTACTCTTAAGGGTAGTGGATGTCTGGTCAGCAGCCGTCGAGGGAGCGCACACACCTTCAGATACATTTATGATATACACGACGTCTTGTTTTCTATTCTAGTGATTGGATATCTTATTGCCAGTACATATCGTTAAGGTTCCTTCATTCTTAGATTTTCTTCTTTGTATGAAAGTCTTCAGGGCTCCGCACACACGTTACACGTACACTCAGCGCCAGCGGATTCTCAGGTAATGCATGGTATACGTCGCATTGGTTAAGATAGCCGCCCGGTTTCCCTTTCCCCCGTATTTTCTTTTCTTCACCACTGATCGGCTCGTTAGCCACTTGGGCGATCGGTCGCGTCTCTTTTACGCACTGTTGGCAAGTACTGGGCGTTATGAAAACGAAGGTAAGCACTGGGAGGCTTTATTCAGCTTAATGCAAAATCAGTATCCATAGATCGGTAATGAAGAGAATAAACAGGAATTACAAATTAAGAATGACAAAGCTTCAAATAACAGAATTGGGTTTACACAAATAAACACAATTTAAGAAATATAAGAGAACTTCAAACAATATATAATCTAGAGCACTTAACCAACTAAACATAACACATCAATCACCCCTGCCTTTAAAACAACCCATCAGCATACAATAACAGTGCATAATCGCCCAGATAGGACGGCATACTGAATGTCTGGAACGCAACGAGGGACGGGGAGGGACAGGGCCGGATTCAGGAGTGGGCAAAGTGGGCAGTTGCCCAGGGGCCTCCACAATCTGGGGGCCTCCACATATTACAATATTTTATTTATTTGTTTATTCATTTGGAATATTTTTATTTTCATTCTTTAAAGTTCATGTTTATCTATTCCATCACGTAAAACTATGTTCAGCAAGAAGTGTGATAGAAATTAGGCTAGCTACTCCTTGAAATTCATGAATACCTGGTTTTCTTATGAACCGTATATTTTTAATGAATGCTATTATTTGTGTTGCTAATAATATATTTAGAATTCCACAAACATATATTGATTAAAAATGAACTACATGGAATAACGAAATTGAGATTAAAAAAAACAAATACAATATTTTTTTCATTATCACTTCCATTACGAATGCCATCAGGGCGCTGTGTGTTGACAGTCGGTCGGAGGAGGTTGGGTCGTCTAGTATCTGCACATCCGTTGTCATGTGTCTGTCGATTAAAGAGGAGACTTGCGTCGCCCATGATTCGTGAACTTCCCACGAGTAGACATAAACATGTCTTGCAGATGTAAAATGAGAGAGAGAATTGTCATGTGTGCTTGTTGAGTGAAGTCGTCGCCGCTCAGTGATGAATGATCTTGTCAGTGGTCATTTCCTAGAACATGTCTTGCAAATGTACAGTGAGAGTGCAAGTGAGAGAGAGTCGATTGATGCTTGTGCTTGAGTGTGGGTGGGTGTGCTCTTAGAACATACGTTCACATATATGATTGTGCTTTAAGATACTACAGGTCGATTGGCTGCAAGTAAGTTGAGTTATTTTGATGTATTTTGAGTACATTAACTATGTCAATGACGGTTTCTGTCAGTTCCACGATCAGTATATACAGTATAACACAGTATAGTCAATGGTGAAAAGGAGGCGAATCGACGGCGAGCTTTAGGGGTGGGACTGGGAGAAGTCAGAGGGAGAAGTCATAATCTTACTCAAAATTCCAAATTTAAAAATATGCTGGCATCCAAATGTTCCAGGGAATCAATTAACTTCTCCATAAAGTAGCAAAAAGCAAACGGCCAATTTGTGTTACGTTTTTAATTATAACGAAAAATTAGGTGTCCATCTTTGTTGACAAAAAATTATTTTGCAGAAATGAGTGGAATGGACAGACACAAATGTTTATGGCGTTTCGAAAGATTCATCTCTCTGTAATAATTAATAATATTCATTTCTGTGAAGTCTCTTGAAAATTTTTGACATGTGCGGTAGTAGCTATATCAGGGCTGGTCGACTTGAAACCACATGAATGACTCCAGTCATGTCTCACTTTTGTGTGTGTGTGTGTGTGTGTTGAGAATTTGTACACTATCAATAAATATACAGTTAATTAAAAATTTCTCAATGTTCTAATTTCCTCAATATAACTGCATTTGGAGTTCAAAATTCTCCAAAGAAGTGTTCAAATTTCAAAAATTTACCGGGGGGCTTACAGCGTCCCCGGAACTCCCAGATGTTTAGGCTCGCTTCACTCCCCACCCCACCCTCTTGGGTAGTTATAATGAGGGGGGCCTCCACAAAGAGGCTGCCCATGGGCCTCCACAGGTCTAAATCCGGCACTGGGGAAGGGGCTGAGTTGGTGATGCATCTGGCTGCCGATTTCCCTCGTGGTCCGCCATTTCCAGCTGCTCGTCCCTCTCAGCTACCAGGTGTTCATTGAGATGTTCATTCAAACTTTGTATAGGAACAAGTTCACTGCTGGCCTTGTCTTGAAGTGTCTCTCTACCTAATTCAACACCCTTGGGCGCGACATAGCGCAGAGACACTGTGGTTTCCCCCTCCATCTTGAAATCTGACGCTCGCATATTGCAGATTAACATCAAGTAATTCCACCTCGTCCACCAACGGATCATATTTACTGTAACGTACTTGGCGCTTGAGATATACAGCCTTTTGAGCTGTTAACGGGGTAGGTATTGCCCTCCCACTGGCCGATCTCCGTTCTTTTTTTTTCTTTTTTTATCCTCTTCACCACTGGTCGGCTCGTTAGCCGCTTGGGCGATCTATCACTTCTCTGTTACGCACTGTTGGCAAGTACTGGGCATGCACCAGCTCTTGATTATACCTGAACCTGCTCCAGTGCTCCAGTGTTGGTCAAGTCTGGTCTTGAAAGAGCTCACACTCGGTGCCATCACATCATTTTCTGGTAGATTGCTCCAAGAGTTCACAACTTTCACTCCGAAAAAGTTTGCCCTCACAATTTCCTGGACTTGCGGCTTCTTCAATCTTGAGCTGTGACCCATTGTGGGGCGAGCGTCAGCCAGCTCCAAGTAAGGACACTCGATTGAGTAGTGCCCCTTGAGATGCTTATACACCTCATTTAGGTCGCCCCTTGCCCGTCTGTAGTATAAGCTAGGCAAGTTCAGGCACTCCAATCTGGCAGTCCCTAGCATATCTCAGGGACCAGACGGGGTGACAGTACTCCAGATGGGGAAGCACTTCACTCTTGAAGATCGTTACGAGGGACGGACCGTCTAGATATCTGACCAACCTTCTTATAAGGCCCACTAATTTATTTGTCTGATTTACCTTCTTCTCGCAATGGCCCGAGAACTTCAGCTCATTGTCAACATGCACACCTAGGTCCTTCTCACGTTCAGTCTCAAATAGTGCAGTTTCTTCATCCCGTTGGGACATATGATACGCCTCCTTACCGTTGGTACGTCCCAGGTGCATCCTCTTACACTTCGTGACATTGAATCTCAGCAGTCATTTCTTCGACCATTCTTAGAGCCCACAGAGGTCCTTCTGCAGCTCTTCACAGCCCGCTTGGTTCTTGATTTTCCGAAATAACTTGCCATCATCGGCAAACATTTGTATGGAGGAGTGTACAACGTCAGGCATGTCATTTATGAAACAAACAAACAACATCGAGCCCAATACACTGCCCTGTGGTACCCCGCTTGTGACAGGTACGGATGATGATTTCGTGCCATTAATCACCACACACTGCTTACGGTCATGTAGAAAGTCTTCTATCCACGCAAGGACACTCCCCCGAATTCCGTACCCTTCCAGTTTGATTTTCAGCCTTTCGTGGGGTACACTGTCGAAAGCCTTGGTAAAATCTAGGTAAATATTGTCGATAGTACCACCCGTTCCAGAATATGGGTCCAAATATCCAATACCTTGAGCAATTGTGTTAAGTAGGAGCGCCCCGGCATAAAACCGTGTTGGCAATCCTTTACAAGGTCGCTTCGTAGTAGATGTTCCATCGCGGTATCTCTGATAATACTCTCAAGTACTTTACATAATATGCTGGTCAGGCTCACCGGTCTATAGTTGTTTGTGGAGTGACGATCGCCCTTCTTGAAGATAGGACTCACATAAGCCACTTCCCATTCACTGGGGACCTTTCGTTCATCCAGGCATTTACAAAACAGGATCTTCAGGGGCTCGGCAAGCTCGTTGCACAACTCTCTTAGCACTCTAGGATGCACCATGTCAGGGCCGGGACTCTTATGGACCTTTAGCTTTGACAGTATATTTCTAATACCCTCTTCTGTGAACACAATGTGGGTCAGTGCTGTGTCGAACCGTCTGTACTCAAACGCAAGAAGGTTAATCGCATCCTCTCTTGTGAACACCGAGGAAAAGAAACTATTCAATGCCTCAGCTTTATCCTGGTCAGAATCTGCGTAACTACCATCCTCATGCCTCAGGTCTGATACTCCTACTCGCGTTCTTAATTTCGACTTTGCATAGCGGTAAAACGCCTTTGGGTTTGACTTGACCTCGCTTGCAACCAGCCTCTGGAACTCCTTTTCAGACCTTCTACACTCTATCTTTGCTCGGTTTCTGGCTCTTGCATACATCCTTCTGTCCTGCTCATCGTTTGACCCAACCCACGTCTTGAATTTCTGGGTTTTCTTCTTAACTTTGTCGACCGCTGCATGGTTCATGTGTAGGGATCCCCTCGTATTCCTGTAGACACTGGGTTTGGTCTTGGGTATATATTTATCGATCAAATGGTCCACTTCACTGGCTATGATATTCAGCGTAGTGTGTGTTCTTATACTTTAGTGAGTCAGGCCTGTGGATACCCCTCATTTCCTCCCTCATCCCTTCGTAATTTCCATTGTAATATTTGCACCTTGGCCTGGTTTTGTCGTGAACCAAGCAGCAGTTAAATCTGAAGGACTACATTACGTGGTGGCTGGTGACAACGGGTGGCTAGGTGTTCCAGCTTAGCCACCACACCCTCCTGGTTAGTTATGATGAGGTCCAGTGACTTGAGTGTTTGCTCCCCTCTGTAATGAGTTTGGTCTTTAACATGTTGGAGCAGAAAATTGTCTGAGTGTCTACAAAAAGGGTAGCTGGGTTATTTAGGTCATTTGGCGTGGTTTCATTTCTCAAGTCGAGGTCGCCACAGTTAAAGTCCCCCATGACAAGGAGGTGGCTAGGGTTGAGCCCCATTGCATTGTCTATTAAGGCCTTTAAGTTCATTTGGTTTAATAAGCTACAGTTTGTGGATCTGTAGATACATCCGACAATGAGTAAGTCTCTCCCCTTTGATTTAATTTTACACCACTTTGATTCTTCAAAAACATCCTCCCCCTGTTCACCCACCTGCCTGGTTCTAATGTCTTGCCTAGCATAGATAACCACACCCCCCTTAAAAGTTGTTTGAGAAGACCTTGACAAGCTGAACCATGGAGACCTGAACAGTGTAGTTTTAGAGGGTTGTTGAACGATACAGCTGGAAACTCCTTGAGGCAACAAACAGTGCAAGCATGTGTGACGCCACGCAACCTTGGTAGAAGAGATTACTTGATACAAACGTCTCTAAGTTAACCTGGAAATTGGTAAATTGGAAAGGTAAGCTCGAAAAAGGTGACTATTGAACCCTGAAGATGAGCGAGTCAGTGGAAATATTAAATAGCACGCCCACGACCCCAGCACTAGAGTCCCTTCACAGCTCAAGAGTTAGATAGTAATAAGGAGCACGAAAAATAATAGAGCTTATACAGGAATTTATCCAGGATTCATTAATAAACTGCCCATTTTATGGTTTTTGTTAAATGTGTTTAACTTGATAATACCGAATGTGTACTGCCCTCTGTTATGGTGTTAGCCGGCTTACAGATAACCTAAAAGGTGTAATTACTCAGTACAATAAATTACTGAAATGTCTGCTTGGTCTCAAAGAAAATACCATCATAAACCTATACCTTATTGAGTCAGGAATTATGGTGAGGAGGGGTGGTGATTCTCATTAGAATCGAAGCGTTGTACGCGAAATACAAGTTGTTTATGAACTGTGTAGAGGAGAGAACACACCAGGTTATAGGTTCTTGAAGAAATCTCTAGTGTGATTATAATGTGAACGTCCTACAGAAAATAGTGAATGTAATCAGGAATAAGCCAGCTGGTGCAACAAAATACTTGAGCAGACAGTTTATCCCCGACTACACCCGTCAGACATTTACTATACACGACAAAGATTAATGGTCACAGAACATAAAATTAGAGACAGGCAGGTGGAGTCGTACGCCTGCTAAGTTAAGGTTACGTTCGTGTCACCGGAACCAATTGCAAACTGTTGCAAACTGAAATACAGGTATTACTGGAGTGAGGGGTGTTCTATCTCGGCTCACTGTCGCAGCAGATAATATGTTCAACTTTGCTGATAGAAATGAACTCCTGGATGAAAAAACATCATGTAACAAGTTTGTCAATATATTTACGATGTTCTGAATTTATATAAATAATATAATATATGGATGAAATGGAGTTTATAAGAAATTTTGAAATTATGATGCCTCGCTACTAGAGATGAAAATACTATAATTGTATTTTTTTGGACAAATTGGAAAGTTATACTTTGTAATGACTAGCGAGTAACACCTTGTTACACCTGGCTCATGTATGAAAACATATCCCAATCCCACGAGTATTACTACAGGTAACGTATATACTGCACCTGTCTTCATTCTATAACTTGCTTCGCTGATAATAACTACGGTATTAACTCTTGACCGACTCAAGAAATTAAGCAAAATTGGTGACAATTCTTCCTCGTCGGCCGTCGGACAGTGAAGTTATCCTAAAAACGAGGTTAATTTTCTTTTTATGACACCCATACGTATACACCGTCATCGTATTTGATTAAATTTCTATTAATGTGGTAAATTTAGAATACAAATACATTACAACTCGTGATATTCCCACTCGGATATTGTTGGGTGAACGTGTTCACTAATAATAATGGAAGCCCCTTGAAATCGAGGATGACCGGTTCAAGGGCCACCTAGGCGTGAATTTGTTTAAGGTGTAGAAGCTGTCGCTAATACAACAACCACACCCTAAGTTAACGAGCTGCATGACCCAGTGTCAAGGAATAGTCCGAGAAGACCGGACAACTCACCAACTGCACTGGCTAACCATTACCCCGGAATACGATCCGCAAATCGATTAAAATCCAGGTTTCCAATTACTGCTGGGTAGACAGAGAGGCAAATGGCGTAAAGAAACTTGCCCATAGTTTCACCCTGCCCGAGGATCGAACTAGGGTCCGCTCGCGTGGAGGCGAGGATGCTGAAGTCTATTACATCACAACTTCACAAGGCAGTATACGACCGACCTTCGTCATGGTAGCACGGACACTCACAGCTCTGTGCTTCCTCCTGCTGTTTATGCTACCGGGTCCACTCCATGCTCAAGGTCAGCCCATTATTCTTGGTTTATTCTCTTTCTGCCATCCTCGTCTCGTGGATTCATTAACTGCATTAGTGGAATATAAGAGTGTAGTTAGCTAATTAACAAGTGAATGCATGTTCAGGCAGCACCATCACTTTTTACTTATCATCTTCGTTGTTGGCCGCTTGGGCGGTCGGTCATATCTCTGTTACGCACTGTTGTCAAGTCTTTTACTTTTTTACTTTTATCCTCTTCACCACTGATCGAGCCGGCTCATTAGCCGTTTGGGCGATCGGTCACGTCTCTGTTACGCACTGTTGGCAAGGACTGGGCAAGCACTGGGCCACTGGCTGCTGAATGCATCTGAACCTGCTCCAGTGTTTTTTTTTTTTTAACAGGATTTAGTCCATCTGGGCACAGGTCACTGACCCACATCTGGGCCTGGGGGGCGAAAATTTAATAATAATAATAATTCAGATAAGTAAAATTTATAATAATGTGGTGATGGGTTGTCAGACCACAGCTTACATCTCAGAAACAGGGTAAACCTCGCAGCCGCTCAAGGGGGCCACAAATCAACCAGCACCTCCCATGTCACACGGCCCCACCAACAATGTTAACACCAACCCAGTCAGCAGAAGAGGCCACCTGCCTACAACAACTTTAGTCTCAGAAAAAGTCCAGACCTGACCCTACATTAGCGAGGTCAAATGTAAGGAGACCCTTCGCCGCCCCCCCCCGATCAGCTCAACCTGACGGCTCGTCTCCCAATATATAGGACACCGGTGCCCAGCTAAGCAGTCTCCCATAGAGACAACCCAGAATCACCTGCTAGGCCTCCCCCAGGTCACGTGAGTTTTTGTCAGAGCTTTCCATGGGATGAGTTACGTACGTGAGAAGTGTATTCATTTCATGTTCGTGTCCGAGAATCAGTGTCTAGTAACGTAAATATAATGTCCTAGTAACTTCGATAGAAGGTGTTATTAATGTGTCCATGTCACTGTCGTAATTAATAAACAGTTGTAACGAAGCGGTGTTTGAGAAGTCGTCCTTAAGAACGTAATAGATGTGTGTTGACGTGTAAGATAAGATTAGTGTACTGACGGTACATAACTAACACGGCCACGCCACCAAATTCTTCTCTCTTTATACCACTCTCTTACTAAATATTCTCTCGATACATTTCTACCATTAAAAACGCCTCATTACAATAACAAAAAATAATAATACAACAACAACAACACTGCAGCAGCAATAATAATAATAATAATAACAATAATAATAATAATAATATTAATACTAATAATAATACTAATAATAATAATAATAAAGAACCCTAAAAAAATACAAAAACAAAATCAAGAGTGAGAAACGATATACAGCATGTGTTGCCAATAGGAGGCTTCTTAAGTAGTAGGTAGTAGGCAGGTACCAAACAGGGAGGTACTACCGCCTGGGAAGATATTGGAAGCATAATGTGTTGTCTAATGGTAGACCCTGCTGCCATATGGCATCACGAAAATTGTGACCAAGTCCCAGGTTGCTGATTTGACTTTCTGCCTCATTTACACACAATTACAGGGTCTCAATTGTTTCTCTTACTATTGACAACACGTCATACTGTACATATAGCGTTTCTCACTATTGATTTTTTTATTATCATTATTACAGTGTTGTTATTGTTATTATTATTAATTTATTTTACTTTTTATTATAAATTTTATTTACTATGAATTACTGTATTATTATTATTATTATTATTATTATTATTATTATTATTATTATTATTATTATTATTATTATTATTATTATTATTATTATTATTATTATTATTATTATTATTATTATTATTATTATTATTATTATTATTATTATTATTATTATTATTATTATTATTATTATTATTATTATTATTATTATTATTATTATTATTATTATTATTATTATTATTATTATTATTATTATTATTATTATTATTATTATTATTATTATTATTATTATTATTATTATTATTATTATTATTATTATTATTATTATTATTATTATTATTATTATTATTATTATTATTATTATTATTATTATTATTATTATTATTATTATTATTATTATTATTATTATTATTATTATTATTATTATTATTATTATTATTATTATTATTATTATTATTATTATTATTATTATTATTATTATTATTATTATTATTATTATTATTATTATTATTATTATTATTATTATTATTATTATTTATTATGTATTTCATTACCTGGCCCGTGGTGTGGGTAAACCTGTGCCCGGGTGTCTAATCTCCTTAAAAAAAAAAAATTGTGTGTAAATGAGGCAGAAAGTCATGTCAGCAACCTGGGACTTGGTCATAATTTTAGTGACGCCATATGGCAGCAGGGTCTACCATTAGACAACACATAATGCTTCTAATATCTTCCCTGTTTGGTGGCTGCCTATTACCTACTACCTAAGAAGCCTCCTAGAAGTTTCCCAAAGAAACATTCCCAAACCAGAGCAAAGAACATTTGAGGGCCGTGGGCGCTGCTTGACCCGTCAGTTGCTTGGACAGGTGCCCGAGGAGGTGGGAAAACATAAACGGTGTTGACAATTGTTGTTTGTGGGAATATTATGTCATTCTCTCTAGTAATGATACAATGTTTCTTTTTTTTTCTTTTTTTTCTTCTTTTTTTTTACAGGAATTAGCCCACTCGGGCACAGGTCACTGACCCACATCGAGTCCTGGGGGGCAAAATGTAATAATAATAATAATAATAATAATAATAATAATAATTCACATTAAATAAAAAAATAATAAAAAATACAAAAGTAAAATTAAATAATTATTCATAGTAAATAAAATTTATAAAAAAATACAAAATTAGATATAAAATAATGCTAACAATAAAAATAATAACACTGTAATAATAATAATAACAATAATGATAAAGAACCAAAAAGAAACTAAAAAATGAAAAAATCAATAGTGAGAAACTATATGTTTGTTGTGTTGTCAACTTTCTACTTATTTTTATCCTCTTCACCACCGATCAGCTCGTCAGCCGCTTGGGCGATCGGTCACGTCTCTGTTACACAATGTTGGCAAGTACTGGGCATACACCGGCTCCTGAATGTACCTGAACCCGCTCCAGTGTTGATCAAGTCTTGTCTTGAAAGAGCTCACACTCGGTGCCGTCACAACATTTTCTGGTATATTGTTCCAAGAGTTCACAACCCTCTATCCGAAAAAGTTTGCCCTCACAGTTTTCTGTACTTGCCGCTTCTTCAATCTTGAGCTGTGACCCCTTGTGAGGCGAGCGTCCGCCAGCTCCAAGTAAGGACACTCGACTGAGTAGTGCCCCTTGAGATGCTTATACACCTCAATTAGGTCACCCCTTGCCCGTCTGTAGTATAGGCTAGGCAAGTTCAGGCGCTCCAATCTCTCAGGGTAGCTGAAGTGCCGAAGTGCAGGCACCAGTCTGGTGACCTTCCTTTGAACATTTTCAACCAACTGACAGTCCCTAGCATATCTCGGGGACCAGACGGGGTGACAGTACTCCAGATGGGGAAGCACTTCACTCTTGAAGATCGTTACGAGGGACAGACCTTCTAGATATCTGAACGACCTTCTTATAAGACCCAATAATTTATTTGCCTGATTTACCTTCTTTTCTCAATGGCCCGAGAACTTCAGTTCATTGTCAACATACACACCTAGGTCCTTCTCACATTCAGTCTCAAATAGTACAGTTTCTTCATCCCGTTGGGACATATGATACGCCTCCTTACCGTTGGTATGCCCCAGGTGCATCCTCTTACGCTTCGTGACATTGAATCTCAGCAGCCATTTCTTCGACCATTCTTGGAGCCCACGAAGGTCCTTCTGCAGCTCTTCACAGTCCTCTTGGTTCTTGATTTCTCCACACCACAGTGACCACCGATTATGCGGCAATGACAACAGCTATTGCTAATGATGAGTCGGTGCATGATAATATCCTCTGTCATTGATACTACGTTCTAATCTAGTTGCAATATGACTGATGAAAATTACAGCTTCTAATATACTGTAGCGCTTTCCGTCTGTCTGTCCGTCTGTCTGTTTGTGCAGCCGAAACGGCACAATCGTTTTTCATCAAACTTGGTGGAAAAATCGCAAAAAATTCGTAGTGGAACAAACCTGGTCCCACGTCGATGGTTTCTTTAGGAAGGCATTATATTTACGATGGAAAACGATGCAAGTCTACGGACTTGGTGCACCCTTATTCGCTGTAAGCTGTCAGCCCACGATTGCAGTTATCGCACGGCTCCCTCCTCCTCCCCCCACTTTTTTTCTTAGCCTACTTTTTTAATGTTGTTTGGATTAGTAAAGGAAGGAAGATGAGTAAATAGAAGAATAAAGAAGGGAAAACAGAAAATAGTTAGAGATAACAGGTGGGGGGAGCTGAGTTTCATCATGTGTGTCTAGATGCGCAGTTTCAACGTTACCAGGCGACCTTACAGCTACAGTGTATACTTATTCCTGTGGCTGACTGTGCATGGAAAAGAGATAATAGCAGGAATGCATGGAGAAGATGACTACAATAGACACAGGGTGAATATAGACAGTGAGACAGACAGGAGGTTGACAAAAATAGACAGATTCATACATGCACAAATAGACAATATGGCAATTAACATGACAGACAGACAGCTGACTGACTGGTTCACATTACACAAACAGGCAGACACACGCCAACAACGGATAAGACAGACAGATTTGACGACACAAAGAGTACAGGCGGGCTTACATTCAAACACCACGCAGACGAACAGACAGTTGGGATGGCAATAGACAGGACGGATAGACTTGAGACAGATTAGAAGGCATTTATAAACAAGAATAACACCAAATTGACCATAGCTGCGTCAGTGAGGGTAGGAGGCCTTACATCCACCAGCGTAAATAATAAGACGTATTGAAAACTAACACCCTCGCGCGGAAAAATATCGATGGTCGGTCAGTCATGTGAGATGGGCCTAAAACTGAGTAACATAGATGATGACTATGATGACTTAACACAGGTGACGACTTAAGCAGATTGTGACTAATATAACCAGAATCAAGGTCACTTTTCTTCATAATATAATTTATCTCGGAATGATCATCGGTGATTCATAATAATTTTTTTTATGATTTTAACCTCTCCTTATGGCGAATATTTCTTTAATTAATTATTCTAACGTTTATTCTATTCCGTCTTATAGTATATTAGATACTGTAAGTATCACGACCACGACCATGATTATAACAACCACGACCATGATTATAACAACCTCAGTAAACTGTACCACCGGACTCACCACCGGGCACGAGTGCCCACGATCACTTGTGGTTAACTAATAAACAAATATATTATACTACGTTAATGGTAGATAATGTCTTAGTTGAACTCTTAACGGTTTGCAATAATATTCATGTGGATACGAAGCAAATTTTCGAACGGATTGGAATGCACCTCGACCTGCACTACCGTCTTCTCTGCTGCTTAATTAATGCTTAGAAATCGAAGGGGCTCTAACCTTCATACCTTATCATACAACACTGAATGTGTAACCTGATTATGAATAACGATAATAACTGATTGACAAACATAATCCTGTCTGACCTGATTACATAAAAGACACAGTTCTGCCGTGTGTTTGCGTGTGTGCGGTGTCACGTCTCTTTACACAGACTCGCCGTCCAGAAAGAGGTGGGGACTGGACTGGCCCACATACACACACGGACTCCCAAACTTTGATGAGTGACTACTTCACACTCTGCGCAGAAACAGTCGATTACTTCCTAGGCAGCTCGCTGGTGTTTATATACCTCTGCTCAGACGACGCGGAGAACATAATAGCACCATCCAGGCCGATGTAGGAGCCGGAACGAGATACGCCTGGGAAATTCTAGAACAGTGGTTCTCAACCAGGGGGGAATTCCCCCCAGGGGGGGAATTCAGGTTTTCAGGGGGGGGGGGAAACTGATTCGGGAGCAAGAGATATGTTCGATGAGAAATCAATCACAGAATTTTGGCCCTTGATGTGCGATTCCTACCCAAAAGTGGCAGAAAGAGCTATCCGTGCATTGCTTCCGTTTGTGTCGACATATCTTTGTGAGTCAGGCTTTTCAACTCTGTTGCAAATTAAAGCGAAGCAACGTAGTAGATTAGAGGTAGAAAATGACCTGCGTTGTGCCCTTTCAAGCACTCCTCCGCGTATCCCAGAATTGGCGAAGAAAAAACAATCACAGGTTTCTCATTGACTGTAATCTTCATCTGAATAAAATTAATTACAAATTTACAATATCCTGGTATTCTATTGAACTTTTTGTTTATTGCATTATGCTTCAGTTTGGTCTGTTAAGTAATTCATTATAAATATAAAAAAACTATTTTACTTTTATTCAAGTTTTATAAATCCATCAACATTTTCAATTGGCATTTAATTTGTAAAACTCCACTATAAAAATAATCCATGTAAAATTGTAAATGTATATGTACTAATATGGAAAAAATAAAGGTTTTTCAGTATTATATGCATATTATTTGGAATGCACTTTTTGAGGCAGACAATCTTGGAAAGGAGGGGGGAATGACATTCTGACATGTTGTGAAAGGGGTGCATGGGGCAAACAAGGTTGAGAACCACTGTTCTAGAACGTTGTACTCTGATCAAGGCTTACAATACGTAAGCAAATCATAACAAAACTGATGCAATGCATTCTAGAAAATTTTTACATTAGCAATACACCAATCTCCCCAAACTTCCCAAAGTAAATGCTACTTGGAATAGACAATACTCAAAACACCTAATTCACAAAAAAAAATTATATGTGACTCAAATTTAATTAAATGTACAATGCAGGTATTGTTTAGTGAAGGAACAGGAAACTTAGTTTGGGTTTGATAGGTGTTATCTGCAGCCATAGAACCTAACCCCATATTTCCCATAAGCCTTTAGTCTTGCCCACCGCGGTTTTTCCAACCACAAAGTTTTTCAGGAACCTAGTGTGTATAGTTTGAAGCTAAGTTTTATGAAATACAATACTGTACATTTTCTCAATCCAGATAATGCGTTTTCTCCAAAACATCGTGAGGACTGGGGAGCAACGCCCGTGTTATGAAATGATAGTGGGATTTGGCGGTCGTTTACTTCAGTGTTAGGATGTTACACAGGGAAAGATTTGTCTGTTTTCTGTGAATTTCCATCGTCGGATTCTCGAAGATTCGTTCAATGAATGTTCCTCGTAATAAAAGATATGAAAAGACCTGAAAAGTTTAATGCTCTTGTTTATGTTGTGAAGTATATACCAATGTTTTTAGAATATATTGTATTCATCCATAAATGATGTGGAGAGTGATATGGATAAGAACATTCTATGGTACAGTAATGAGGGTATGAATAACTAGTTGACTTAAAGTTAAACGCAAAGACGAATATCTAAAGGTAACATTAAAATTACACTGATAATCCACCTTTAATAAGGTTAAGTTGCACGGGTTGGAAGAAAAATATAAAGTAGAAAATATTTTTGAAAGGGATTCCGTATGTTCATTTTGTCTTGTCACTGGTGTTAAGAAAACCTAACTAGTTAAGGTGGATGTTCATTGATATTGAGGACTAAAGCTCAACCTGTTCTCACTGTTCGAACTTTTTATTGACGGTTTTGAAAATTTTTCGGGTGGAACAGAGTGTCGTCCGCGAAGCTTCGGGTCAGACAGTGTAGTATGTGTTTGCGACGCCCATCACTGTGACCTGCCGGGTCGGTTGACCTTACCTGACTCTGGCCACTTCACCATCGTCACCTCCTCCAGGGATGGGCTCAGATTCAGCACCGAGACCCGTAAGCTGGATCACAACCCAGCAGAAGGTAAGTCAAGTCCTCCGCCATTATTGCCATAGTTAAGTTTAATGTAATATATCCTGATTTACCGAGTACTATATACTAAAGAAACATGGAACGGTGGGGCTTTATCCACTCTCATAGTATTGATAGTGGGAGTTTGTTTTGTTGAGATTTTCTGTTGAGGGATTTCATGCGACCATCAACTGTAGTTTTGTTTTAACGGTGCTCCGGCTCATATTGTAAATGTCTCAGTGTTTATCAGTCTGGTATAGACTCACCAGACATGCTAACCTCCACCTGGTTCTAAGGAAAACAGATATTCACGTTCAAATTTTGTCCTGTGATTTCATTGTGTCAGGGAGGGTCAAGGTGGTGGTGGAGACCGGTACACCTCGCCAGGCTATGCTGGGGTTCGGGGCGGCATTCACTGACGCAGCTACCATCAACGTGGCTGCCCTCACTCCCCCTGCCCAGGACTTGCTGCTCAGGTTTGTCAACACAACTTCTCTACCTGATCTCACACTCGTACTTACCTTACTTATCCTGTTCGTCATTTGTAAGATTATTTGCCGGTTAGGGGGTCAGTCAGTTCTTTCTTACACACTAAATCCATGTCCTTAATTATTCTTTCGAGAACAGTTAAGACAGAAAAGATACATATAGAAATTGGTGTCTTATTGAGAGGTAGATATTGTAATTAGGGCATTGCACCTAAAACCAAATTTTTCTCAAGTGTGAGATAAATATGTATATTTCTTCCCTAAGTTTCTTCCACTGAAATGAAAGATATTTCTCATCTGGCTAATGATTGACAGGTGTTGTTGCTTCTCTCTACCGTTTTGTTACTAGTTGTGTCTGTTATACAGTAAACCTCCAGAGAGGAGAAATTTGGTTAACAATCCATTTAACGACCTTCAATAAGCTTCATTTATTCTGTAAAACCATCAACTTGGCAGATCATATTTCGCGCCCGAGGGTGTGGAGTACGACTTATGTCGGGTTCCCATCGCCGGCACTGACTTCTCCGTGAGGCCATACTCCTACAACGACGTGGAGAACGACGTTCTTCTTGAGCACTTCACCCTCGCCCAGGAGGATAAACTTTATAAGGTGTTATACGGGGAGGAAAAAATAAAAACTTAATGTCAAACATTTATTTGTGTAAAATTATTTGTAATTACGTAAATACACCTTTATACTGAAATGTAATTTTTTCCAATAGAAAATCCAGTTAATGATCATTGCATTTTTTGACAGTTACAAATACTAATATGTAGGAAAATATTCCACTTCACACAAAAGTGGTAAAATATATCTGAACCACCCTGTATTACAGGCGCTGTTTTTGTATGCATGACAGCCTTCTTGTGTGTCCACCTAGTTGAAGGTTGAATATCTTACTGCATCATCATATTAATTTTGATTATTGTAGACTACAGAAAGTAATATTCATATATTCAAAGTATTTATAAACAAAAATAAGCCGTATATTAGTGCCGTGATAGTGTGCCCATCATATCTCTACTAATTTTTAATTGTTGATGGACTAGTGTTAGGTGCTTAAAGACCTTAGTTGTTGAAGTGGAGTAATAACATTTTACCGTTAACATCCACCAGGTGCCACAGATACTGAGGGCCCAGCAGCTGGCTCAGCGACCCCTCAGACTGTTCGCGTCTCCGTGGGCTCCTCCAGCCTGGATGAAGACCAACGGTAAACTGAACGGGAATGGTGAGCTTCTGCCGGAGATGAGGCAACCCTGGTCCAACTATTTAGTTAAGTAAGATATTGATCTTCGCCTGTTCCAACACAAGATTAATATTATTAAAACTGCTTAAGTAATTTAAACAATGAATATCTTAAAATTTGGTGCTTCTATAGCGTGCGGTCTACAAGATATTTCGGTTAGGTTAGGTTAGGTTAGACTAAAGATATATTTGTAGATCGCACGCTATAGTAGCACCCAAAATGTTTAGGCATACAACTTCGTTCATTCAGACCAGACGAATAAATTATACAGGTACTCTTACATTTTATACCCGAGAGACTTGTTCATCCTCACAATGTTTGGAATTTTCTCTACCAGCGTTACCCGTAGCCTTGAGTGCTGGTACACGACGGGCCAGTGTTACCCGTTAGTACACAACAGTAATGTAGGTTTCGGTCTTGGGTGCTTAAGTCTGTCAGTCTCAGATTTTTGCTCTGTTGGGAGGCAGTTGTCGACTGGTGAAGTTTAGGTTCAGGTAGGGGAAGTTACCTCACCTCAAGCCACTACCTTGTACCACACAAATACACCAAAAATAATGATTTCTTGGGTAATGGTAAATTTTCTTAGGCAGGGTGACATAAGTGACAGATGTGACTCCAATTCAAATCTGACAGCAAAGCAAAATCAAGTTTCCGTCACTGATCAATCTGGCACGGGCTGTGCCTGACTCTATAGTGCTCCTGTTGAGAGTATATTTAACCATGGGAAGATGATAATAAGGCTACATTGTTGTTAAACATCAGTAAATGTGCTGAGTATGTTCGTTAATGAGCACATGTTATGTTTTAAACAAATAGAAAATTAAATACATATGTACCTTGATATGATCAGCAAGCCTGATGTGTGAAGTAAAGTGTTTTTATCTAATTACTCTCTCTCTATATATATATATATATGACAAATGCAAATCATTTGATTGATGATATCATTGATAGTTGAGTCATCACGAAGATGCCGGAAAACCAGCTTTTTAAAGTAATAATAATAATAATAATTAACGGTTTATTGAAACAATTCTGCAGCCCGAAGGCTGAAAATATACATTGGACATAAATGACTTATTACATACATTGGTGGTTTAACAAAAGCCTTCAAGTGAGAGATTGTATGAGTATGGAAACACAGAAGAAGGCAGAGCATTCCACAGTTTGGCTGTGTGAGGAAAGAAGGAGGTACTATAACGGGTTATTCTCGTGTGACCGACATCCACAGAGAAATGGTGGGCACCGCGGACAAGACGCGTGTTACGAGCCCACGGCCTTGCCGGCTGTACACAGGATGCCAAATCCACTGAACATTGCCCGTTAAAGTACCTGTACAGAGAGAGAGTGAAGCAACATTGCGGCGAAGAGAAAGGGAAGAAAGATTGTCAACTAAAGGAGGAGAGTTAATAAGACGAAATGCCTTTGATTCCACCCTATCTAACAGTTGGGCAGAAGAAGAGCCACCCCAGATATGAGAGCAGTACTCCCAAGTTAGGACGAATGAATCCCTTAGATACTTGAAGGAACTGCTCAGGAGTGAAGTAGCTACGGCATCTGTACAACATTCCCAACTTTCGGGAGGCAGCTTTAGCAATGTTATGGATGTGTTGCTTCCATGATATATTAGAGGAAATGGTGAGGTCTAGCATATCTAATTTAGAATTTGGCAGAATGATAGCTTCCTGAAATGTGTTTGGTAGGAGATCATCTAATTTGGAAAGTGTAATTGGTAAATACTGAGTTTTATTACTGTTGAATTTAACCAAGTTTCTACCTCCCCATTCAGAGATGCTGCACAGATCCGCATTGATAGATGTAATGATATCAGCTCTAGAAACAGATCTAGTTTGAGAGTTAGGGGGAAGGGGAAAATGTGAAGAAGAGTGAAGAGTAGAATCATCAGCGTAAGAATGGATAGAATTAGTTGTATTGTGAAGTAAATCATTGATAAAAAGAAGGAAGAGAGTAGGTGAAAGAACAGAACCCTGTGGGACACCACTATTGGTAGAGAAAGAGCGAGAGATCGATCCCTCGACAACAACTGCCATGGATTGGTTCTCAAGGAAGCTAGAGATTAGAGAACAAAGTGGGGGAGAGAAACCATAAGAGGGAAGTTTAGAAAGCAAAGACTTATGCCATACCCTGTCAAATGCCTTGGAGATGTCGAGGGCCACGACGAAAGTTTCCCCATAATCCCTAAGAGAGGTTAAAAGACTGCTGGTATACTGTTTAAATTATCACTGAACTTCATTCAGGATAACGAGGTACAGTTATGTTACAGTATCTCTTGTCTGTCTTTCCTGTCGCACACTCAACATTCTCTCTCTCTCTCTCTCTCTCTCTCTGGCTAAAAACCAACGAGGATTTCATAAAGATTAGGGAGGAGGATGTTTAATCATCAGGTGAAATCAGTTGGGGTTCTTAATCTGCATGAGTTCCAACAATGCTAATAATTACAGTTCCTCCATACTTTATCTTGACCTTAATGATTTGTATGCAAAAAAAAAAAAAATTACTAGGATGATTTCATATACTCGTTGCTTATTAGCCGAGTAGCCATTCTGGCGGTCGGTCTTTGCTTTGTTACGAATTTGTACAGGAGGAAACCGCTGTACCACCAACATAAAATATTAACCAAGTGGAGAAACGAAAAGAAAGACGAGTTTGAAGTCATACACAATAAAGTTGAAATGTCCTGATACAGCTCGGTATCTTGTTTGTTTACTGTAGGCCCGTGGGGGTAGAAGGTTGTTATTATTTTTTATTTGAAGTGATATATTCGGGTTACAGTGTAGTAGTGGCTAGGCTTGGAGACTGGCTACAGAGGATAGTCTATGCTCTTTGCCAAAATCCAGCCTTTAGATTCTCGATGCGCGGCGGCTTTACAGCGCGACAAACAAACCGGTTAATGGCTCATACCTAAATTGATGGTTAACTGAGTCCCAGGCTTAATGGACTCCGAACTGTTGTTGGACGACCTGTGATCCACTTAATCTAGAACCATGTATATAATGTATTAATGATTTCATTTATATTCCACGTAAAATATGTTAGAATATTATGAGGGAATGGCAAAGGAAGGGAACATGTAGCGGTACGTTCAGTGCACTCCATGCCATACCAAACAAAATGTGTTTAAAAAAATTGCTTAATTACTTGGTCACTATTGTGTCTAAATTTTCAGCTTCCTAACTTAAAAAGTGCCTGAGATATCTTCCGGACAAGCAAGAACACAAGTAAACACACTGAGTACCGTACAGTACCTCCCTTTTGGAATTCATTCCCTTGGAACACACTCCTCGCGCGTCACCTGAGGGGTTGCAATGCTTAATTGGATAGAAACTACGCCATTTTCCCTAGCTTAGATTCGTAAAACAGGTTGAACCGATGAACCGTCGGAATATGGAGCCGTGAAATAAATATAATTATTCACAGCAAATAAGAAATGTTACAAAGATCGTTACATCTTTGACTGACGTCGCAATAATTTACTCAAATTTGCCCGGGTTACAGTGTCATGTGTGTGACTATTGGTGTTTTGTTTAACAGATTCGTGAAGGAGTATGAGGCTGCGGGTGTAACGTTATGGGGCCTCACCACGCAGAACCACCCAGCAGACACCGCAGTCAATGTAAGTCCTCCCAGCACTCCGCTACTCACACACTGTATAAGTTGGTACAGTAAAAACATGTAAAATACTCTACTCAGGTAATTAGAGTATGGTTCTTTCACGTCCTTTTTCGCTTAATGCAGGATGACCGGGAGGAACAACACACACACACACACACACACACTGTATTACTACGCACTGTTGGCAAATATTCCAAGGGCTCGCGAACCCTTGGAGACCAATACAGTACCATGATTTCTAACAGTTCGATAGTGGCCTTTATTATATTAGTTCCAGTTAGTGAAGACAAGGTAACAAATCCATCACAATTTTTAGACAGAGTTGTCATTTTGGACTCGTGGATATGAAGTTATGAACCTAATTATCAATGAAAATAGTTCAGTTGATGCTGTAAATACCGACAATCTGGTCTCTGATTATTATTATACACCACAACAATCACTGATAGGTGTTCTCTTTACCCAAGATGACTGCATGTGATCTATGAGCTTTTTCTCTCCAGCATCGGCTCTAAATATAAGTAGACCACGAAATACTCCATTATTGAGCTCAGTCCAGCACTCTGGCTCAGGTCGGTTTAGTATTACAGAAGCAGATTCTCGATGTTCTATTAGTGACAGGTTTTACTGGCAGACGAAGATGATTTAATTGTTCTGATAATGGGGAGAATTTGTCCCCGATTGCATTCAACTAATGTACAATGCTGTCGGTTAAATTGTGTATAAATTTTCGTCCTTTCAATTATGTTTTTACTTTGTTGCTAAGATGACATCTATGTTAAACTGTTAGATCAGAATGTCTTTTTTCCTTATGAAATAGCATATAAAGGCCAAATACAGTACATTGATTACCGATAGTCTTTGGGTCAGTTTATGACTAGTGTGTATCTGATACTTGTCGGTAATTGAACCAATAGTCAGGACCGAATTTAGGACGCATGGACAACCTGGGTAAAATTATTAGCTTGGGGTCTTATTTAATTATTTTTTCCAATTCTTGATTCTGACCGAAACAGAAATCAACGACAAAATTATTACATGTAGGTGAATTAAAGCGATATTTATGCATTGGTTCTTTGCAATATACTGTTAAAATACGCCCTGGGAACCTACCTTTAATTCATCCCTGTCAATCGTCACTCCCAAAGCTAAGGGGAAGGGGCACGCTCCCCCCGTGCATGCCTCTGCAGTGACACACATACTTTCCCTCCATTCATTTTCATTGCTGTCAAAGATATGTTCTCCTATGATAATGCCGAGCCACAAAACCGATGTATACCTCTGTTCCCTCACACAACCCAGCAGCACGTCCTTACCCTCTAGTCCTTGAGCGCCACAATCTCCACTCATTCACGCACACTGGTACTTCCTGGATGTCTACACTTTACACTTCTTGTACTTCATTCACCCCAGTCCCCCGCCCTCCCCTGCATCATGTGCAGAGCTGCCCTCACCGTCTGGTACCGTTAGTCTTTTCTTCCTTAGTTACTCTGCTTCTCTTCCCAAACTTCAACCTTCATTAAACATTACAGCTGTTTTCTTGCTCTCTTATATCACTCTCTCAACCGCCCCCCAACCATCACCGTTTTAGACGGGTTCAACAAGAAATGTTCAAGCCAAACAGCTACAGTGCCAAATTTTCCAAAACTCACTTATTTTACGAATTTCTTCTCTCCCCTGACTGTTTCACTAGAATTGGAACTGTTGTTTCTGGAGCAGTGAGGACATGAGGGACTGGATCAAGGACAGTTTGGGCCCCACACTGAAGGCCGCCGGTCTGAGTGAACTGAAGATAATGGTTGGCGACGAGGTCAGAATTCAACTCCCGGAGATCTCGAAGACGGTGAGTAGTTATCAGAGTTGTAGAATGCCGAAATTGGATGGATAATTTAGTAAATTGATATTCATCTAGATTCACCATAACTTAAAATATCGTCCAACAAACTTTCCCACCAACGTCAGGTTGATAATGTGTGAGAAATGAGGTCTCCCTGTCTGAGCTTGTTGACACACAGGCTGTCTGAAGAAAATCACTTTCAGTTGTGGTTTAAACAGGGTTTTTTGTGAATCTAGCAAACGGAAGTGTATTTTATCTGGGTTCTCGTTGTAGATTCTGACGGATCCTGAAGCCGCTCAGTACGTGGACGGCTTGGCTGTTCACTGGTATTCCGACAACAATTGCAGCCCGGACCTCCTGGACCAGATACAACAGCTCTACCCTGACAAGTTCATCCTTTACACCGAGTCTTGTATAGGTAGGGTGTCTTGGACACACATATAATCAAACGAGAGTTTACGTCAAACCTAATGATAAGAGTTGTCAAGTTGTTTAATATATGTAGCCTCGTGTTTCCTAGCTGGATTCGGTAAAATGCTATTCCTACCACATAGTTGGCACGGGCAATCCCCACTGAAGGTTCACGTTGCTTAACAAAGAAGAATGAACAGGCTTTGTATGAAATAAAACAAAGCCTAGAACTGTGTTTGTTGTTCTTGTGGTGCGGTGGTAGCGATCCCTGTTCACACGAGGTCCAGGGTTCGATTCCCGACTAGTGAGGTATTGTTTGTATATATATATATATATATATATATATATATATATATATATATATATATATATATATATATATATATATATATATTGTTTTACCAGTTCCAGGAATGAAATTGTGGAATGATCCAGGGCTGGAGGCTGTAGTGCTAGGCTCATGGTCCCGGGCCGACTCCTACGCCACTAGCATCATCGAGGTATGTAAACACAGTATGTAGTACAACAGCATTTGCAAAAAGCTTGAAAAAATTAGTACAAAGCTGAATTTTTCAGGAGAGCTTCAGAATATCTTACCTATTGCCCTAATGCAAAGTTCTGCATGTTCCACCCTTAGGCATTTTCAAAATTCAAGATGGCCACCATCACATTTTGACATGAAGAGAAAAACACTAATATCATCTTAACTGTTCTATCAGAGGCCTTATAACAACGATTCTGGTCTCAAAACCTATGTTTTTGTGTATGCTGAGCTCAGTAAAACCATCAGAATTTAAGTTTAGATTGAACTAATAAGAAAAAATAAAAAGTCGCTGCCTACAAGGCAAGAAATCTGTTACATTCATCTTGGGCCCACTACACGCTCAGTTTTTAATTCCAGATTAACTGGGCAGATCAAAGCTGTACAGTTAATCCGGAACCTGCGCGGTTTTAATTGTACAGGCTAATATCTTGGCCGGAGCGATATCTGTCGGTGACAGAAAAGTTAACTGTACTGATTTGAACTGTATAGTTAAACCGGAGCGTGTGGAGGGAAATCCGAAAATTTGCTCAGTCTACATGTCAGACATGCGGAATTCAAGGGAGTTTGTAGTAGAATTTATTGAGTTTTACCGAAGCCATGAATGTCTATGGAAAATTAAAAACTACTGTACACTGACAAAGGGATAAGAAAGCATCAGCTTACAAAAAATTTCTTGAAAGGATGAGAGAAGTGGATCCAGTGGCAGAGTGAGATGCAGTCGTGAAGAAAATAAACAACTTGAGAAGTGCATATAGGAAAGGATTGAAGAACCAGTGCAGTCACCGGACACATCAGGAAAACGCATAGCTTCAAAATTAAGAGTTCTTTCCCGAGACAAACGAATCTCCACAGGAAGCTTTATCAATGAAATTTGGTTTGAAGCTGAATTGAGAAATCTGAATGGGGAATGCAAATAACTTTTTTTTTTCAGGCATTAGCCCACCCGGGCACAGGTGTCATTTTAAATGACCCATATCAATGCCTGGGGGCGAAAATATAATAAAATAATAATAATGATGATGATAATAATAATACAGTAAGAATTATCACAATAAAATTAATAATAATAAACAAAAATAAATAACAATTATAATACAGTAATAGAATGTAATAATACTAATAAAATTTTAAATAATAATGAGCCATAAATAAATACAAAACTGAACAAATAAATGAAGTGTGAGAAACGATATACTGTAAGTATGTTGTGTTGTCAAAATAAGAGAAACAATTGAGACCCTACAATTGTGTGTAAATGAGTCAGAAAGTCAGATCACCAACCTGGGACTTGGTCAAAATTTTTGTAGGGATGGGCAAACCGAGTATTTCGGTACTGTACTGATTGCTCTTCAGAACCGATTAAACTGAGTGCTAATTGCTTTCGTTTTGTATCCAACTTTTTTGTGCCACAATTTGCTTGTTTTGCAGGTGTGCATCACAGACCTACATTTTTATGTATATTTTGAATTTTTGATTAGTACAGTCTCATGTTATTAATACAGTTTTAAAATAGATGCGAATTCCATTTGAGGTGGAGCTTGACTGTATTGTAGACAACGTGGATGATTGGATCACATGAAGATTAGCCTCACAACTTAATTCACAAAAAGATTAAACACACTAATGCTACCTGGAATGGGTTAGGTTAAGTTAGGTTAGGATTGAATATGTTTAGTTTAGGTTAGGTTAGGTAGGTGAGCGTTCGGGTGGCTAATTTTTAGGTGAAAAAGCTGGGGCTAATCTACAGGTGAAATAAGCTGTGGCTAATCTTCAGGTTATATAAGCTGATGGGCATATCTTCAGGTGAAATAAGCTGGGGCATATCTTAAGGTAAAATAAGGTGAGGTGCTAATCTTCATATGATCCGACAGCTTTATCTCTTATCCAACCCGTAAGGTAGCAGACTGTCCTGTATACGTTGTTCATCACAGTAAAATCTTGTACAATATTTAAATGTGTGAGAAACAAAGGAGACTGAGATGATATATTCTTCCCTTCATTGTTTAGCTGATTGGTTTGATAAACTCGAGACAAAAGTTTATCTCTCACCACTTTTATCATTGTTCCATCTCTGGTGTTAGTGGTGGAATAACGTGTGTCGTTATAATTATTTCTTGACTTCCGTCTGTTTGCTTGCACATGTACACACACACGCGAGAACGCAGGAGAAACACAAGGAGTGACAAAGTACAGTAAGGATGTAAGTCACCATAATCATAAATATGCATAGCATAAACACAATTGTCTTACTCTGGCGTACAGTATGAACTGTTGTTGTTTTCCTCAGGTGGTTCGTTACTGTATTGTCTCTCAGTGCATTAACCACCACTGTTATCCTCCAGCAAGATATTAACCATCTCTATAAGATTTCTACAAGCTAGTGACCACCGAACTCGCCCACCAACAGAGTGTGAACCACCACTCAACTGGCTGGATTGATTGGAACTTGGCTCTGGACATGAACGGAGGACCTAACTGGGCCGGTAACCAGGTCGACTCGCCAATCATCGTCAACGCGGTCAGTATTTACTAATGTTACTTGTGTATGTTCTGGGCGGAGGTTTTAGGGCCTTGTGTTCAGTTCATCCATCACTAGTGGGACAGTATAAGTGTTGTGTAGGACTGGCTGATGGCGCCACTCCTTGTATTTAGAATTTTGTTATTGCCTTTGTCGTACTGACAAACATGTGGTTTTATTACATTATTGCACTATGATATAATTTCTTCATGGAAATTTAGTGATAATTTTGCTAAATTATCTTTAATATGAATACAATAGAGAGCATTTATTTCAAGAAAGAGTACACTTGTTACCTTTGAATGTGTGGCGATTACTGTCAGCGTGTTGAAGTCATGTATCGTGGAAGAAGAAAGTGTTTGAGTAAAATAATTGTATTGTAAGTTTAAGGTATTCTAAGGCTATTATTTTCCTTTCAGGGTTATGTCATCAAACAATAAAGAAAGGCGTAAATGGTACGAGTTTATCCCTGTAAGTTGGAGGTCAGAGATAAGGACATTTAAAGGCCTGAGTTGGGGAGGTAGTGGAAGGCAAAGGTGTTAGCGGAGGAGTGTTTGGCTGTACACAGTGAGGGGTGCAGGGCAGAAACCACTACTGGTTGGATGATGGCTACTGGGGTGTTCATATAGTATGTGAAATCTTAATAATAAACAGTCCTCCCAAGTTTTGAACAGGTCGCCGGGAGGAAGACAAGTTCTACAAGTAACCCATGTTGCCTTACTCTCCAGGAGGAAGAAGAGTTCTATAAGTAACTCATGTTGTTTTACTCTCCAGGAGGAAGATGAGTTCTACAAGCAGCCCATGTTCTATGTGATGGGTCACTTCAGCAAATTTGTTGCGCCAGGGTCAAGGCTGGTGCCATCGTGGGTAGTGGAGCCATACAGCCACAATATACACACCGCCGCCTTTATCCACCCTGAGGGACCCACCGTCGTCGTTCTGCTTAACAGGTATGGCCTCTCTCTCTTGTGGCTTCATTTAAGTACAGAATGGAGGACATCTTGACCGCATTAGTCTAACTCACACGTTCTAGACTAGAATATTCACTACCTTAGCAGACCAGCTTCGGGAATTTCCGTTCTGGTACTGCTATCAGAGCTACACAGTACTGGCTGTGACAGAGTGATAACCTCTATACCCAGAGAAGATAAGGTTGTGCTCCTTGGTGACTTCAATGCCAAAGTTGGCAGAGATGCTGAAATTTGGCAGAGAACCATAGGGAGGAATGGACTAAGCAAGTGTAATCCCAACGGCCTACTCCTCCTCAGCAAGTGTGCTGCACACAACCTCACTATCACCAATACCTTGTTTAGGCAGGCCGACAAGTTCAAGGGTTCGTGGCAACATCCACGATCCAAACACTGGTATCTCATCGACTACATCATTGTCAGACAAAGAGATCGCCGAGATGTCCTCATCACCCGAGCAATGCGTGGCTCAGACTACTGCGACACTGATCTTCGGCTCGTTAGAGCTAAGCTCTCACTTCACGTCACTCCAAAACGGTGAAGGCAGCAAGCCTCCAGAGGAGGCACATGCTTTCAGAGAGCAACTCGAACATGGGCTGATAAACAACCCAAATCCCAGTGCCGAATGGGGTATTCTCGACACTATCAAGACAAAAACCTGCAGAGAGACCCTGGCCCAGATCGAAAGAATACACCAGGACTGGTTTGATGAAAATGACCCGGAAATCAATGAACTCATCGACGTTAAACGCGCTGTTTTAACTGACTGGCAGAACAACCCTCAGTCTCGGACCAAAGCTGATACCTTCAGCAAGAAGAAAGAGGCAGCCAAGCGGGAACTTCGTAAAGCCCCCTCCACTCATCTGACGGTAACGAAGAAGGCATCCATCGGCGCTGGAAAGAGGACTACCATTCACTGCTCAACAAAAACACCGATGTGGATGTCCTGACTACCTAGCAGGTCCCTCAGGATCCAGAGCTGACCCATCTCGGCTATCCTCCTCCCCTGGATGAGGTAGCTACTGCCATCAAACAGATGAAAAATAACAAAGCCTCAGGGCCTGATGGAATCCCAGCCTAGCAGGAGAACCTCTGCTTACTAACCATCTCCACTCTCTCCTGGAGAATATATGGGAAAAGAAGGAAATCCCCCAAGTTCTTAAAGACGCTTCCATCGTCAATATTTATAAGAACAAGGGAGACCGGTCAGACTGTGGCAACTACCGCGGGATCTCGCTGCTGTCCGTAGCTGGCAAGATTATCTACCTAGTCCTCCTTAACAGATTTTTTCCTGAGGCAGAAAACTTCCTCACAGAACCTCAGTGTGGCTTTAGACTGTCACGTGGCATCACTGACATGATCTTTGCTGCCCGCCAGATACAGGAAAAGTGCAGAGAACAGCGTTGTGACCTGTACATGGCCTACATCGACCTAACGAAGGCCTTCGACTCGGTCAACAGGGAAGCCCTCTGGTGGACCCTCAGCCGTTTTGGCTGCCCACCAAAATTCATCGCCATTGTGAGACAACTCACGATGGTGTAAACGGCAGTGTTCTGCGCATTGGCACCCAGTCTGAGTTCTTCCCCATCCAAATGGGGGTAAAACAAGGATGTGTACTGGCACCAACTCTGATTTCCATTTTCATGGTTGCCTTCCTTACCCGTGCCAGTGCCAATTTAGCCTGCGGGGTGGACATTGAGTACCGGATGAAGGGGGGGTCTTTTCAACATAAGACGATTCCAGGCAGGAACAAAGGTGTCGACAGCTTCCATTACTGAACTTCTTTATGCAGACGACCTCACCCTTGTCGCTCACACTGAATGCGACATACAGGAAATTCTTAACACCTTCACAGATGCATAGCGCACACTTTGGCCTTGAGGTGAATGTACGTAAGATTCAAATTTTCTTTCATCCTGCCCCTGGTTCAGCCACACCTCCACCATCCATCCAGCTTAACAGTACTACCCTCTCTTATGCTACCCACTTTCGGTATCTCAGCTCCCACCTGTCCACCACTGTGGACATCGACGAAGAGATTCAACACCAGAACATTTGTGCATCTCAAGCCTTTGGCAGACTCCGTACCCGTGTCGTCAGCTGTAGGGAGCTGAAATTAGCTACAAAATTGCACGTATATCGAGCAGTGGTCCTCCCCACCATGCTATATGGCAGCGAGACATGGATCACGTTCAGGAGGCACCTCAAGGCACTTGAAAACTTTCATCAACGTAGTCCACGTTCCATCCTCCGAGTTCGCTGGGAAGACAAGAGAACAAATGCCAGTATTCTCACTGATACCAAATGTAGGAGCATCAAGACTACCATTATCCATGAACAATTACACTGGACTGGCCATATTACCCGCATGGACGACAGTAGACTGCCAAAGTAGCTACTTTGCAGTCACCTAATGAACAGTAAACGTAACGCTGGCGGGCAACTGAAAAGGTATAAGGATGGTCTTAAGACAAACCTGAAAAACTGCCAAATCGACCCCCTCACCTGGGAGACAATTACTCCACACCATAACGCTTAGAGGAGCACCACACAAGAAGGTGTCAATACTTTCGAGTCAGCCTGACTGCATGCCGAGGCAGACAAGCGCCAACGCCGGAAAGACGCTGCCGCCGCCCCTCCCGCACGAGATGGAGCCATTCACACAATTCAACATCTGTGAACGCCTCAAATTCGCCGACGAAGGTGACATCCTTAGTAACTCATATCATTGTATCATAGCTGGATAATCGTCATACTCGATTCAGAGTGACAGCAAAGTAATATATATGTATATATTTATATATATATATATATATATATATATATATATATATATATATATATATATATATATATATATATATATATATATATATATATATATATATATATATATATATATGTATATATATATATGTGTGTATAATATAACTGGATATATATAATATATATTTATATATATGTCCTTATGTGGTTGGTTGGTGATGATTTTATATATAGAAGTTGTCATGGTTTTGGGGTGGTTCGGTGGTAGTAGGAGTGGATTATATTATATAAGATAATAATATGTCGTATTTCTTATTTCTTACCGTAGAGTCCGATACCTTCACACTGGTTACTTACAGGAGATTATGGCGTATCTACGTAGAAGTTCACTCCACCACTCGACATTCCATGATTTATACTTGATAAATGATGATTTAATGAATTCATTTAATTTCCAACATCTATCTAAGTTACTGGTTATACTTTGTCATAACCAATCAGTCATTACCTTTAGTAATAATAAGATAGGATCACAGATACGGGCAGATAATTGCACTTACATTTATTTGTCAAGCTTCCATACAATGATTTACAATTTGCATGGATATATGATTCACTCACGTTCACGCTGTAATAAAATTAATCTTCTAAAAGAGGAATTTTCAACTTGGGGACACATGTGATTACTCTACTATGGGTATGACTTAACAGAGCCTTAATTATTCAAGTGATACATTTACTGCCAGCCTGGATTGCTCTTGTTGCAACCAGGCTTCATCACAAGAACTTCTTTCCACGGGCATAACAACAAAAAGGTACCCTTGGGTTACCACACGTAGTCTCGCGTCACTGACAGTCACTGTAGACGGTTGTCGCGGCAAGGAGAATTGGTAAGCGTGACTTGATTAACCAGGAAGCATAATCAAGTCTCAGGTTGCTGATCTGTCTTTCTGCCTCATTTACACACAATTGCAGGGTCTCAATTGTTTCTCTTACTATTGACAACACAACATACATACAGTATATTGTTTCTCACTTTTGATCCCTTTTTTATGGTTCTTTATTATTATTATTATTATTATTATTATTATTATTTTATTTTCAATTTTGTTTTTATTTTATTATAAATTTCGTTTACTATGAATACCGCAATAATAATAATTATTATTATTATTATTTTTATTATTATTATTATTATTATTATTATTATTATTATTATTATTATTATTATTATTATTATTATTATTATTATTATTATTATTATATTTTCGCCCCCCCAACCCCCAGGCCCCGATGTGGGTCAGTGACCTGTACCTGGGTGGGTTAATCCCCTTAAAAAAAAAAAAAAAAAAATGGTGTAATAGGCCAGCCTGGGTTGCTTTTGTCGCAACCAGACTTCCACACATGATATTTCCATGGGGAATACAAACCTAGGTTAACACACTTAATCTTGTGTCGATCACGGTCACTGTAGACTGGAGTTGCGCAGGAGAACTCTGTAAGCGTGAATTGATTAACCATTTACTATAGGTTTGATAGGCCTGCCTGGATTGCCCTTGTCGCAACCAGGCATCCACACGTGATATCTCTACGGGGATAACAACCTAGGTTAGCACACTTAGTCTCGTGTCATTAACTCGAATACACTGGATAGATTCAAACATAAGTTGGATGGATATATGAGCGATAGGGGTTGGGCATAAATGGGACTGCCCAATATGGGCCAATAGGCCCGCTGCAGTTTCCTCCATTTTTATGTTCTTATGTTCTTAACAGACAATGGCTTGATAGATGTGCACACATACTCGCACGGTATACATCAGACACACGTATATGAACGTACACAACACGCTCACACTGGTATACGTACCATTACAAGTATGCATACACTGTCAGTGGTGTGGGTGTGTGTGTGTGTGTGTACAATCTTTGATGTACTTAAAAACTTTGTACACCAAATGCGCCTCAGTATATGTGGTAGGAATCACTATGTTTTTGATATGTTTCCTTATTTTTGTGAGTTGTGTTGCTGTTGCGGTGGTTCAAGTACTGATAACATTAGTGCTGTAAGTGGGTGATAAGACAGTGAACACTTAAGTGACCCACCACACAAGCTACATTAAAAAAAGAGAGATAGGAGAACGATCAAGGCGGTAGGTATGTTACTAGGCTGGTGCCTCCGTTGCACTTGATTGTAATTTGTCACATCCCGCCAT